TATAATATCGATAATTAGATTATATCTTCTACAAAAGACAATATAAAAAAAAATTGAAAGGAATGTAAAAAGGAAGAAATACCTTTAAAAAAAAATAATAGAATTTTGAAAAAAATTCAATATCAAACAGAAAGTATGTAATCAGAAAAAAGGAGAGATTTGTAACTTAGAGATGGGAATATGATATCTTAATTATAAATAAAATATATATGATGTAGGCATTTTTAAATTTTGTAAAAATCTGACAACAATAACTCATAGTGATTAATAAAGAATTAAGATTTTATTAAATGAAAAATATGGTGGTAGATGGGATTTAGATTTTCATTTTATTTGTTTATCTGATTTTCGTAAATATATGAATTTAAAAATTAAGAATTTATGAGTGAGTAGAGTAATTCAATGCAAGAATTGCAAAATATTGGAAATCCCACTTTAATCAGCATTTTAGGAAAATCAAATGTTTCTTGAATATTGAAAAAAGTGTGCTTGTGAAGAGAAATATTAATTTTGATACTACAAATAAATTTAATATTTAATATTGATAAATGTCATAATATCAGAGCAGTGATCCATATGAATTGTATGATGAAGAGTTAATAATTTAGTTTGCATTATTGTAATGATTAAGATTAACAGATTTATGATCAAAATAAATTGTTTATAGAGAATCTTGTAATTTATGATGTGAAATATCAAGTAAAAGAAGCAAATCATTTATTTTAGATTCACCATCATAAGACAGTGCTATAAATATTAAATGAGTAGAATCAACTAGTAAAAACTTTATGGGGTAATGTTTCGTATAATTTGTTTGTAGGTTTTTAAGATGTTTAATTTCCAACTTAATCAAATTTAGAATAAACAATCAAAGAATCAATAGAAAGCAATTTAATTGTAATATAATGATTAAGAAATTAGTAAACTGTTTATAGTCAGACAAATCCTGGAGGTTAATTATTTAAGATTGGATACTAATAAGAAATTGATGCTTGGTTAATCTACTGTAACAATCTCACAGTTGTTGCTTAAGTGTCTGATGATTTATCTGAATTTTCATTCTAAAAATTTGATGCAGCAGTCTAAGTGGCTGAGTTATGGTTTAATATTTTGAATCAATGTAATTAACTTTCCTTATATTAGTTAGCTAAGAAAAAATTAATAATTTGAAATTTGATTTCCACAATCGTACTGTCTATGGACATATTATAAATCAAGAATCATTAATATATCACCCTGATGATATCCTTCAGTTTATAGGCATCCTAGATGTTAATTTTGAATAGGCATAATAATTATTTTGTTTTTATGGATTGCCTCATCCAAAAACTTCATAATTCAAATTACAATTAAAAGTACTCCAAAAACATATAGAGAGAATACAAAGGAGTGATATTGAATTAGAATCAGCAGGAGTTATCTTATATTTCTATGATTAATATTATCTTGTCCATACAGCTGAGTATTTAATTTATAAACACATTCAATCAATGTTATTGAATGAATAACATATAGAAAAGGACTTCAAATAATTTATTAAATCCTTATAAGTTAAACCTCCGAGACCATTTAAATTTTACTAGAATATCTATGAACAAGGTTAGAAAATATTGGAATCCAATAATAAAATTGATTAAACAATCAAAATAAATTTTAATGACTTTGTTACTATTATATTACACAATATATTTAACAACAAGACTTTCAAATGGAATTAATTAAAGTCTATCAAAGATTATAGAGTATCTTGGTCAACCTATTAACCAGAAACATTAACCAGAATACCTGTATATATAGGTGAAGATCCATAAAAAAACCCAGAAAATGTATTTTTGATTATACCAGTGTGTATAAATGGAGTTGGAGTATCAACTTTCGCAAGAACATTTTAATCATTCTATTATTAAACTCAAATCGTTAGTGATCTTTAAGATGCTAAAGTTAGAGACAATTATGTTATTATAATTGAACATAATCATACTCCAGAAGAAGCATAATCTATATTATCAAAATGTAGTTAATTTTATAATAAAATCATTTTGTTTCCATATTCTAAAAAATCATACAACGAGTTAAAATTACCATTTTCATATGAATTGCTTATTACTGCTATGAAAAGAACATGTAATTCACTTGAAAGAATTCAATAATTTGTTAAAAAAACCAAAACCTTTGAAAACTTTTAAGTTAATTCCTTATAAGTAAATGGATTTATTGAATTTCCATTTATTGATGAAGATTTATCAATTGATCATGAATATATAGAAGATGATTTATTGGATCTATTTTCAAATGATTCAAAAAAGTATCTGAATTAATTCTTTAAAAGTCTAAAAGAACTTCATCTTCAAAATTAAAATAATGATAATTATGATGAAGAAATCAAGAATATAATTCATCATTTATTCCCAAAAGTTTAAAATCTTACTAAGCATCAACCAATCAAAGTTGATGATGTTGTTAGAAAAGAAAGTGAAGATATTGTGATTCCTGAAAAAAAAAATAAGGTACCAAAAAAAGAAAAGCATGTATAATATGATCCCACTTATTTACCTAATTCACTTAGTTTTCAAGTAAAAGGAGGTTATAATATGAGAGATAGGATTAATAAATGGATTTTAGAATGCTTAGTATAAATTACTTAATTATATCTTAGAATGCTGGTAATACATAGTTTAAAAATGATGAAAATTACTCTAAAATTGTTAACATCTTCTAAAAATAAACTTTTGAAAATGGAGAATAGCATTTCATTCCAGAAAAAGATCTTAGATTAGAATTATTAACAATTAGTCAAAATGATCAAAGTGTTAGATAGTTACCCTATTTCAAAGATTTTATATAAGATAAAGAAACAGAAATATTTGTTAAAACCTTATTTGTTAGTTTTGATGGATTGATTGCAGCTTTAGCTCATTAATCATCATTACCATGTTAAAGTCCTTATCCCCATATTCCATTTTATTACAAAAATCTAAAAGTAAGAGACAGTTTATCAGTAATATCTTAAACCATATTATAAAATAAAGTCTTAAAATAAGCATTCAAAGATGGTTAACTCTCTAAAGTATCTAATTAACCAATTTTTGCTTCTGAAGATATTAAATACAGAAATAAGACTTACAAAATTTATGTAATTTCATTGTTAGATGGCATTAAAGTTAATGCCATATCAACTGATAGATTATGATGTGAGTATTATAAAAATACATTAATATAAATTTAAATTTCCTTATTAATCTATTTTTTAATAATTCATCATGCTGGATTTTCACCTTATCCTAATTTTAAGGATACTTTTAAGCTTCCTCAGTTTTTTTTAGCACCTTCTTCAGCTCAATTTTATCTGCTTCTTCTTTTTTTAAGCTTTCCTCTTCATCTTTTGCTTCTATTCTTTCTCTTTCTTTTTCATCCTTTTCTTGTTACTCTTTTCTTTTTTTTTCATTTTCTTCTCTAATTGCCTCTTATTTGGCAAATTCTTCTTCTTTCATTTTCATGTAAGCTTAAAAAGTTGGTCTTTTCCATTTTATAGATCATTAAGAAATCTTTTTATTCTTTCTACTGTTGGAGCTACAGCAGGAAACAAACCTGTGTTTTTTTTAGAGTAAATTATTTGATCTTATTTTTAGATATAAATGTATTACTTAAATGAGTAATTTCAAACGCACCTATGGATGTCTTAATATTTTAATGGTTAACTACACAATATGAATTTGGAATAGCAGCCTCTACAACTAGAGAATTTTATAATAATAACAAGCAAGTTATCTTCCTTAAATTCATGATTTAATTTTGCATATCGCAGTTCATCATGTTTTGTACAAAATTAATGTGATTTTTAACGATTTATACAAACTTCGAAATGAATCAAAGTAGAATTTAGAGGAATAGGTTTATTAGATAAGTCTAAATAATTTTTGGCAGGAGGCTTTTCTTACTTTTNACTTTTGAAAATGGAGAATAGCATTTCATTCCAGAAAAAGATCTTAGATTAGAATTATTAACAATTAGTCAAAATGATCAAAGTGTTAGATAGTTACCCTATTTCAAAGATTTTATATAAGATAAAGAAACAGAAATATTTGTTAAAACCTTATTTGTTAGTTTTGATGGATTGATTGCAGCTTTAGCTCATTAATCATCATTACCATGTTAAAGTCCTTATCCCCATATTCCATTTTATTACAAAAATCTAAAAGTAAGAGACAGTTTATCAGTAATATCTTAAACCATATTATAAAATAAAGTCTTAAAATAAGCATTCAAAGATGGTTAACTCTCTAAAGTATCTAATTAACCAATTTTTGCTTCTGAAGATATTAAATACAGAAATAAGACTTACAAAATTTATGTAATTTCATTGTTAGATGGCATTAAAGTTAATGCCATATCAACTGATAGATTATGATGTGAGTATTATAAAAATACATTAATATAAATTTAAATTTCCTTATTAATCTATTTTTTAATAATTCATCATGCTGGATTTTCACCTTATCCTAATTTTAAGGATACTTTTAAGCTTCCTCAGTTTTTTTTAGCACCTTCTTCAGCTCAATTTTATCTGCTTCTTCTTTTTTTAAGCTTTCCTCTTCATCTTTTGCTTCTATTCTTTCTCTTTCTTTTTCATCCTTTTCTTGTTACTCTTTTCTTTTTTTTTCATTTTCTTCTCTAATTGCCTCTTATTTGGCAAATTCTTCTTCTTTCATTTTCATGTAAGCTTAAAAAGTTGGTCTTTTCCATTTTATAGATCATTAAGAAATCTTTTTATTCTTTCTACTGTTGGAGCTACAGCAGGAAACAAACCTGTGTTTTTTTTAGAGTAAATTATTTGATCTTATTTTTAGATATAAATGTATTACTTAAATGAGTAATTTCAAACGCACCTATGGATGTCTTAATATTTTAATGGTTAACTACACAATATGAATTTGGAATAGCAGCCTCTACAACTAGAGAATTTTATAATAATAACAAGCAAGTTATCTTCCTTAAATTCATGATTTAATTTTGCATATCGCAGTTCATCATGTTTTGTACAAAATTAATGTGATTTTTAACGATTTATACAAACTTCGAAATGAATCAAAGTAGAATTTAGAGGAATAGGTTTATTAGATAAGTCTAAATAATTTTTGGCAGGAGGCTTTTCTTACTTTTAAGGTTGTTCTTCTTATTGATTTTATTCTCCTTTTTCTTGCGGTTACGTATACTTCTCCAGAATGTTGCATTTATATTATTTAATTAATTTATTTGATTCCAGATGTTTTGAAATATTTATTTGAGAATTATTAAAAAACATATGATTGATATGAAAGGTAGCATAAGTAATTAATTTTAATTAATTAAATTACAATAAATATGGCCGACGATGAAATTTGTTAGAATATTAATTTAGGAGATGTATATGTAAGTATTATATGAAAGTGTTCAAAAAATGATGGCAATTTAAGAGAAGCATTTAATAAACTATCCACATTCAACAATCCATATAAATTGCACAATGAGAAATTTTTAAAACTTGCACAATTGTTGAATGATTAAAATTACGACTAAGAAATACAAAATATATTAGGTTCGTTGGATCCTTTTAATGATGAGAATGGATATTATTCAGAATTTTAGAAAATTGAACAGTAAAATAAGTTAAATTAGTTAAATAATTTTAATAATATGGTGATTGGAGAGAAAGATGTGATAGAGAGAAAAATTGCTTAATAGTTAATTGATGAATATTAAACACAATTAAAACTAAGTGAAAATTAGTTGTTTGGAATGATCTATAGCCATAAAAATAATGAGAAATTCGGTCATTTCTTAATAATGAAGAATTAACAAATAGGATCAATTGAAAGTAAAATACATAATAGAATTATTATTTTAAGAGGTTTAATCTGAGAAAGAAGTTTCTACATTGGTTTAAGAAAATGATTTATCTAAATTATGTGCTATTTTAGGATGTGCTGAGTTTTTTAATGAATAGAGAGAAAAACAAGTCTAGGCTTTGAGTTTAAATCGTGAATTATATTTAATGAAATTTGATAATAAGAGAGAATTAATAAGTTGTTAGGATTATGTTAATGGAGTGGCATCTAATATTCGAATTTAGGAAATTACTGTGAAACATTTTGAAGGTGCGAGATATTATTTGATAAAATGATAATGAATAATGAGATTAATAATTAAAGTATGTAAAATTATTTAATTATCAAAACAATTTGTTATGAAAACCTGTGCTGTTTCTTAATTATTAATCTGCATTGTAGTATTGTTTAATAAATTTAGTAATTTGAGCAGACGCATCAAATTCTGCTAATAAATTCTTACTTATTGATGATCTAGTAACATTTAATTTCCTAATAATACTTGGTTTTTCAGTTTTCAATTTTCTATCTGGGCTATTTTGTATAGATTGACTTTAAGAATAATATTACTTAATTTTAGCAGGTTCTGGAGGGGTATTATTTCTTTTTATGATTGTACCTTAGATATCCTTTTTAATATTCAGAAATTATAATTGTTCTTTTGCTTATAAAATTATTTTCGAATTTTCCAAGAGGATTGTGTTAGATAAGTTACGTAATTAATGAAGTTCTTTGAGAATTGATTTTAATTTGAATTTAATTGCTGAAGGCTTTGGACTGGAATTGATTTTACCTTCTGATGCAATAATTCTAAGATGCTCACTTTCTATTGCATAAGTTTAAATTTATGTCTAAAAGACAACAATTTTATCTTTTAATCTATGAATTTTATCTTAAGCTTTCTTTTTTAGAGCTTCATATTACTGACGATAATTATCCTTATCTTCTTTTTTTTATCTATTTAATTCTTCATATTTAGTCCGTTAATCTATTAACTTCTATTAGAGTTCACATTTCTACAATTCAATTTGTTGATTGCATGCTTTAAGGATAAGATACTCAGTATTTAGTTCATCATAACGGTGTTTCCATTAATCATGCTATGCATCGTGAAATTCATCAAAAATTGATTATCTAGTATGATTAGCTATTTTACTTGTACTTTGCACAATTATTACAATACTTACCTATCGATTCTTTCATTTCATATTCAAGTTGTTTAATTTCTATAAAGAAAGACTCTATTACATGTTTCAATTCTAATTCTAGTCCTTCTGATGGCTCAAACTCTTTATTAATGATACGCATCAACTGCTATGTGAATTATTATTGCTGTATCAGAATCCCTTGCATTTAATTAGCTACAATATATTTTAATTTATATGTGTTAATCATGTATTATTTGGCAATAATCTTTTGTGTTTCTACATAAACAAAAATACAGTTTTATTTTTATTAATAATGAATCCTTAAGAAAAATTAGATTAAATATCCTAATAGGTTGATTCTTTAAGTAGGAAATATGGTGAAAGAAGTATTTCACCTAGTTAAGATTCTTCAAGAAAGAATAGTATAATTTCAATTATATCCAAGTGCGTCGAATTAAAAGTAGTGCTCAATCATTAAAAACTTTCAATATGAAACCTCAATAGTAAAACTTTCTAAAAACATCTAAAGAAACATCTGGAGGAGGATTCTATAAGAGATCTTAAATTATGGGTACATCATTTCCTTCAATACGTACAAAAGAAAAACAGAAGTAGTATTCTAAATTATTCAAGTAATGATTAAAAATAAGGAAATACAAAAAAAGAAGAAAGTTTAAGTTTGGTTTAAATAGATTCAGTTTTAGGTATCAAATCATTATTGGGACCTAATCATCATTGTCAGTTCGAAATATAAGTAAAAAATCTTGTAGCGAAATTGGTATAAAATATAAGTCTAATAATTTAAGGAAGCAAGTGAGTTATTAACTATAAAAGCAAAGGATGAATTGGAAAGCGTAATTTGGATGGTCAAAAATTACAATAGTGAAGGATTGATATCGAAATTATTACAATTGTAATAATTAAAAAATGAATTAGAGAAGGATTAACAATTAATGAGGGATGAAATTGAAATGTTAGGAATGCAAAGAGATAATTGGTAAACTAAATATTAGGAAATATATGAAAAGTTATTGAAAATGCAAGGAATAGAAAATGATCTCCATGATGCATTGCATAAATTGTAGATGTCGAATGAATCATTGGAATAGATTAATAGAAGATTAAGAGAGAAATAATTAGAGGTTTAAGATTGGTAAAGGAAATGTAATACACATGATGAATAATTTAAAATAAGAATAAATAAATTAGAAGAGACATTGAAGGAGAAGGAAACACAAATATAGCAATTATAAAAGAAATTATAACGATTGGATAGTGAGAGTGCATTTTTATAATAAGAGATGAAGAATAAGAGTGAAAAATTAGAAGAAGAGTAAAGAAGATCAAAATAATTACATGCTGAGTTATTAGATACAAGAGTGAATAAGGTTTAGAATTTATAGGATGAAATTGCTAAATAAAAAAAGGTTATATAATAAAGAGTGGAAGAGATTGAAGAATAAGAAAAGAAAAATAAATTATTGAATGTAAAGAATTATTAAACTATTTATATAGAATAAATTAAATTTATTAGAAACTTAATTAAAGAATTTTGATGATGTAGCTAGATAAGAGAAAGAAGAGTTAGAAAAGGGATGGTAGAAAAAATATAAAGAATTAGAAAAATTAAGTGTTTAATATAAAAGAGATTTGAATTAATTAGAAATCTAATTATAATAAGTTGATTTATTAGTTTAATAGAAAGAACATGAAGTAGAATAGGCTGTAGTTAAAATAAAAGAATTATCAGATTTAAATGAAAGATAATTATAAACAATATAAGCTAATTCTATTGAAATACTTAGATTGAATCAAGAAGTGGAAGAAAAAGATTAAGATTTATAATATGCAGAATAACAACATGAAGAAATTTCTAAAGAAAGAACTGTATTGATGGAAAGAATAGATCTTTAGAATAATGAGATTTCTGATTTGAAATAATAAGTATTTTAAATGAAAAAGGAATTAGAAGGATTAAGGTGGGAGAAGTAAGATTAAGATAGAAAACTTGAAAGATTAAATGAATAAATAGAGTAAGCAAATTAAAGTTCAAATTAATATAGATAATAATTAGATGAAGAGATTAAAAAAACCTATTAATTATATTCTGAAATCAATAAATTCAAATAAGATATTGAAGATTTATAAGTTTAACATTTAAAGGAAATGTAATAATAATAGAAGATTATTGATGGTAAGGAAGGAGATATAAAAAAACTTCATGATAAATTATAAGAATTTTAAGATTAAGATAAAGATTTATCAGACAAATTAAAAAAATTGATAAATGAAAATGAAAACAATAGTAAGTTAATTCAATAATTGTAGAATGAAAAATAGGAATTGGAGTAGTAAATTTAAGAATTAAAGAAATTATTGAATGAATTATCAAATGATAAATAATAATTACTTTAAAAAATAGAAGAGATAAAAAATGATAAAACTGAAGTTCAATTATTATAGGTGGAAATAGAAAAATTAAAAGCAGATTTAGAATAAAAAAAGAACTATGATGAATTGAAAGAGATTGCTAGCTAAATTAATTCAGTTTATGAAGAGAAGGTTTCTTTAGAGACTTAAAGAAATGAATTATAGGTTTAATTAAATAAAACAACAGAAGAACTTAAGGAATGGAAGGATAAATTAATTAAATTAGAAAATGAAAAGAAAAAGAATGATGATGAATTTAAATAATATAAAGATAGAGCAGAAGAGTAATAAGAAATTTATTTATAATCAATAAAAGGATTAGAAAAAAAGAATCATTAGCTCAATTAAGAATTACAAAGTGTTCTTGATAAAATGGAGTCTTTAGAAGAAGCACTTTAAAATTAAAACAAAGATATTAAAATAATTCCTAAATAAGCTTAAGTTCCTCTTCATAGAAATAATACCTTTTAATAAATTTTTGTTGAAGATAAGGTATTCTCTAAAGAAAGTACAAATGATGAAATTCTACTAAGATTCTCAGAAATCGATTTTAGTAGATCTAAAGGTCATCTAACAATTTGTTTTTGGGTTAAAATTGATAGAACAAATTCAAAAGAAATGCTTCCTATTCTAAAAATTAGTACAGAAAATAAAAAATTATTAGAGATGGGTGTTTATTTAGATACTAGATAAGTATATAGCACTTTTATTCCTAACAATCATCCAAAAAATACTAAATAATAGAATCCATTAACTGTAACTTCTTAATTACCAATTAAATTGGGAGAGTTTTAATTATTAGCTTTAATTTTAAATGAATCTGGGTAATATATGGATATGGGTTTATGTTTAAATGGAGTTAGGGATGATTAAGTTTCTATTTCAACTTCTTTAATTTTTCCAGAAGCTCAACTATCATTTGGAAAATATACAACTCATCATCTAGTTTTAAAAGATTGTTTAGTAATCACAGAGAATTTATAAAGAGTTAACATTTTTAAAGAAGTATATTAAACATTTTATTAAAAATATAATGGTATAAAAAAGATGAGTAGAAGGTATGGATAAAAGAAAGAAAATATATCCTATTTTTCTGCAGGAGATCTTATATTTTTTTTAATTTAATAACATGAACAATCTCCTCCTAAATCAGGAAGTAGATCTAAATCTCCTCCACCTACTTAAGCAGTGATTATTAATAATAAAACTATTCCAGCAGGATTAGTAAATTAATATGAATTAGCCAATACTTAAATTAAAACCGAAGAAACTAAACCAGAAGAAGTATAAGAATAACCATAATGGAGTAGAAAATATTCAGTTGAAAAACTCAAGAAATTCTTATTTACTAATTTTAATTATAAAAGATTGTTAAATCCATTCACTGAAAATTATGATTATATTTCTTTAGGATTGTAATTATTACAACCACCACGTAATGATGAATAACCTCCAACCAAATTTCATAAAATAATCAAACCAAAAATACAATTATCTCCTTATTATATGATGCCTTATAAATAATTTTTAAATTACATATAATTTGTCGGATTATTAAGAGTTACTTTTGAAGAACTACACGATTTATGTGAATTGATGGAAGTAATCTATACAATAGGTAAAGAAAAATATATTCATTATGATCACTTTCTGATTGTTTTAAGAGAATGTATTATGCCTAGAGCACAATTATAGAAGAAAAAAGAATAAGAAAAAGGTGAACCATAACCACCTTAAATTATTGAATCTTACAAACATTTTTATAAAGAAATAATTATAAAATCTACAGGTATAGATGAACAAGAAGTAGAATTATCTAATGCTGTTGAAATTAATGAAATTTCAATCAATAAAAATGATCAAATTACTTAATTAGATGTAAAATTAAAGAATGAATCTTTACAAACCTACCCACTTGAACATTTACCTGGTGCTTTAGTAGGAACATTGAATCTATCTTAATAAAAAAAGGTTATATTTATATTTTCAAATGATTCTTAAATAATAGAAATAAAAACAGACACTAATTCTTTATTGTTAGGAGAATAATGTGAATTAACATTAAGTCATGAATTAGAATTAGAGGAAAATGAAAAAATAGTCAAATTTAATATCTAGGATAAATAAATTAGAGTTGTTATCTAAAATTCAAAAAAAATAAAAGAAGAAATCTAAGTATATTTCTTATTTATCATACTAGCCTATAGAAATGGATCCAGAAACAGAATTAGAATCTTTGAGTTTGCCTTAAGTTCCAGATAATTGGAATTTAGGCAAATTCTATGTAAATATTACTAGATGTTAAAATTGTGATAAACATCAATAAACTACAAGACATGAAGAAAAAGACTTCATTGAAAAAACAGAATATATTTCGAATCTTCTTAAAGAACTATTTCCAAATGTTGAGATTATTGAAAATGAAGATAAAACTGATAAATTAGAAAATTTTGAAGTCTATATTAAAAATGCAATTGGTCCTGAAAAAGTTATGCTTCTTTAAAAATAAGAGAGCATGATTAAATTTAAAGATAATTTTAATGATAAATTGCCGAATCTATTTGAAAAACTTATGAGAATAATTAATTTTTATGGTACTACAGAGAAATTAGGACAAGAATAAGAAAAGTTTAAGTGAATATTAATTAAATAAAAATATTTATATATATATATATATATATTTATAATGTACTATTAAATGTGGTATAAATGCACTCATTTTCCAACAAAACCTTTAAGGTAAGTTTCCTTTTAAGCTCTGATGACTTCTCTCTTATCTGTCTTTCTTGACATATAAATCTTTGTTTTTTCTGAACCTCTTGTTTTCTTTAACTTAGATTTAACTTCCTTCCATCCCTTTCTGCTACCATCTCTCTTTGGAATGATACCTCTTCTTCTCAATCTGAATTTTGGTTCAAATTTCATTAAATATCTATAATCATTCTAAACTTATTACTATTATGTATCGTAGATCAAAGCAAATCCTGTTGTTCTATTACCTCCAAATTATGTTCTAAGACCATATACGACAACATTTCTTTCATCTGCCTTATATTTGCTTGCTAATTCCTTAACAACTGATTCTTAAGAGGGAGTTGCCTTATTTGGATGGAGTAATTCAACACTCTAAAGTTAATTTATCACTATACTAATTGTCTTCTGTTCAAAAGTTTGTTTAAGAGTACCTTTCTGGTCTTTACTATGAATGTCATCTTCTTGAATAATTCAAAATAAATTAAATCTTTTTTATTAAAATAAAACACAACACAAATCCCTCTCCATCATAACTTTTAATTTTAATTTTCAACTTATTTAGAAAGTTATTTGTATAAATTAATATATTTTTAACAAACTAATTATTTATTTAATTCCAATCATTATTTATATATATAAATAAAACCAATTCAAAATATTTTATCATTATAGAAGTATTTTAGATTTGCATTCTTTTAATATAGAATATTTAATATCTTTCATCTTTTTATCCTCAAATACTAAATTTATAATTATGGTTTAACAAAATGAATTTAGTTAATTAGAAGAAATATAGCGGAATTGTTATAGAAAAGTACGAAAAGTAAATTGTAGAAAAAGAACAAGTAAAATTATAAGCTAAGAAAAAATGATTATTTACTTGTTTTAAATAATTCTACATCATCTACTTCATCAAGATTAGGTTGTATGGTGAATACTTATGTAGAGGTTATCGGTAAATGAGCATAAGTAGCTCTTAACCCAAGTTATCTATTTGCTAACTGATAACAACTAATAACTAATCTACCTTTGCAACAATTATGTCTGGAAAACATGTTTACTTAAATATCTTGCTTGAATTAACATATAGGAGTGAATATTTGAAGAAACTTTAACTAAGTTATGAGTAGACCTAATATAAAAAAAATATAGTGAATTAGGATCTTATCTCATTAAAATATAAGTGAGAGAAACGTAAGAAACCCATAAAATACTTGTTGAACAAATTATAGTCTCACAAACAATGATCTCTGGTCTCCAGTTGATATATAACTTGACTGATGAACTAGGGGCAATAATAGATAAAAAAAAGAGACGGAAAATTTGTAACCCAAACAAGAAATGGGGTCTAGATAGTTATCTAATTAAACATTAAAAATTTTGCATAGCATTATTCCCATATCTACGGAATATTTAACTAGATTCAAGTAATAGCCTTTATATTCTTTTATTGATATCTTTGTTATTTTAGAACATTTGAAATAAATCTAATTATTAGATAATGAAATATCAAACAAAAAATGAGTTTATTTAAAATAAAATTAAGTAAGAATGTAAATTTATTATTTTTATAGAATCGATTTAGTGAGAAGATACATATTATTTATAGCTGCAAAGTTATGTATAATTTATAAATATAAACAGAGAAGTTGATGATGGGATAGTAAAATTAATATGATATTAAATTATGTTATTTAAATAGAATATAAAAATGAGAAATAATATAAAAAATATTAATAAAAATATAAACTAATATTGTATATAGATTAAATAAAAAGAATATAAAAAAGAAAGGATATTTGTGTTTATTTGATTGATGAAATAATACTCATGCTTATTATTATTATTCTTTTCCAGCTTAAGCTTCAATTTCATAAAGTTTAATAAGTCCTTCATAAAGTCTTCTTGTAACAACAGCTTCAGTGACACCAAATCTGGCAGATGGTGAAATATCAGCTGTTCCTTCATGATCCATAGCTGAATGTTCACCTCCCATTCCTCTAGCTTATAATCCAAATTATCTAGCAATATCTTTTAATTTTTTTTCATCTTTTCCACCATTTGTAATATTTGGGAATTTCCCAAGAATAGATTATCTCTTTCCTGTTCCCATATTAGTTGGACAAGTTGTAACAACACCATAAGTAGGATGTTCTGCAAATTCAAGTCCACTCTTCTCAATACCTGTAAGTAATTAATATAATGATTAATCAACTTTACCAAGATCATTTCCTTAAACTATAGATATTATTCTTAATTAATCTTCTTCACCAACCCATATCATTTTAGTTTCATCTTCACTAATCCAAATACCTCTACCAAATGGCCAATCAGATGCAACACCTGATGATGTTAAATGATTATCTGTTGTCATATCATTAAATAAGAAATGTCTCTTAATTAATTCATCAGCTTATTCTTATGTTATTTAATTTTTATGTCCAGGTGTCAAACTATGATATTTTCCTTTTATTCCAAAGTTTTCAAATGCTTCAACCATTTTATTTTCAAAATTAATTCTTTCTTCTTTGCTCATTAAAGGTGGTAAATTCCATCCTTTAACATTTCTTGCAACTCTTGCTCTCATTGAAACTTTTTCAAGTTTTGGATCAATTTTAGTTAAAACATATTCATCAACTGGGATATTCCAATCATGCTCTTATTTGGTTTCTCCTTCTATTTTATGATAATCTCTAATTAATGGTTATAAATAAAAGGAAAAAACATCATAATCTTCTGGTCTTGTAGCATATACACCTACTGAGCTATCATCATTAGCTAATCCACCCATCATAACATCTAAGAAACGTTGTTAATCAGCTCCTGATAATTTCTTAACTTATTCAACTACTTCTGGTGTAAAATACTTATTTCCTAAACTCACCTTTACTTTTGCCAATTCATTCCATCTTGCTTAAACTTTTCCAAAGTCAACATTTCCATCACCATCTAAAAAGGCCTTTCTTGCTTCTTCCTTAAACACTATCTATTATTCCATTAATTTAATTTATATGGAAAATCAATCTTATCCTCATATTAATATACAAAGATTCTCAATTTTAGTAAAATCTAGAATAATTACACACGTATTATATGATTTAATTAATTTTATTTACTATCAAATTTTATTAAAAGATATAATTATAACAAAAAATTACACTTTATATCATACACATATTTATGTTTTATTATTCCTAATTTTAATCATTTTTATTTATTTTCTTTATCATTAGAATATTAATATTTTTATTATTATAAAGTATTTATATTTTAAAATGAGTTAATCCATTAAAGTAAACTATATTGATAATTCCAAGATATAAGAGGCTGTGGTACTTGATGATATTGAAATCATTTAGAATAAATATGTAATGTGTTTAAGAAAAGTTCTTGGAAAGGTATATTTTATTAAAATTAATTAATAGGGAAGCTATGCCTTTGTCTATCAGGGTTATATGAAAGAGAATGAAAATGAATAAATTGCTATTAAAATCATTCAAAAGTTAGGAACTGAATAAAAAAGGAAATCGTTTGATGTTTTATCTAATTTTATAAAAAGAGAAAAACTTAATCATGGGAAATTATAAAGTGAAAATATAGTAAAGTAATTATTAATTTTAAATAATAAGGATGATTGATTTTGTTGAAGATGAAGGAAGTATTTATTTCATTTTAGAATTTTGTGAAGAAAAATCCCTTTCTGATAAATTAATAAGTGGTCCACTTAAAGAAAATGAAGCCCTTTGGATTTTTAAATAAGTTTTAAATGGGTATAGAGAATTAATTGAATCAAATATTATTCATAGAGATTTAAAACCAGAAAATATTCTATTTTCAAAAGGAATTGCAAAAATAGGAGATTTTGGTTTTTCTATATATTTAGATGACTTAAATACAACTTCAGACCATACAAAACTAGGAACTCCTTTATACACTGCACCTGAAATTTCAACTGGGAAATATTCTTCCAAAGCAGATATATGGTCATTAGGTGTTATTCTATATTAAATGCTATATGGTTATGTTCCTTTTGATATTTCAGTCCCAAAAGATTTAGAAAAATCTAAAAAACTTCCTATTAAATACCCAAATACAATTAGTGTTGATGTAATAGCATTATTATAAAAAATGCTTGTTGTTGATCAAAATTAAAGAATAAGTTGGCAAGATCTATTTGCAGAGAATCTTGTAGGATTGATAAAAGCTCAATAAAGTTAAATTTAAGATTAAGTTACTTAATCGAAAGTTATAAAAATTGACTAAAAACTTGATAAAGAGATGAAAGTTTAAAATATCTATAATTATTTTATTTATGTATCCGATATTCTTACCTTTATCAGAAGTTTAATCTGTGAAATATCGAAACTTCAAACTGCTGTAAAATTTTCAAAAGAGCAAATAAAACATTATAATATCATTACTACAAAATATTTATTAAATGAAATTAAATTTTATTTAAGAGTTTTGAATGGAGAAGTAAAATAATCAAAATTATTTTTTATTAGATGTTAATGTAATTATTAATATTACCAAATGATTTTCAACTATTTAAGAAAAGTGATCAGTATTATTAAGTACTTAATAATTTCAAATGTAATTCGGAGACTTTAGAACAATTCTATCAAAAAATTAAAGAAGCATATGATAAGTATTTTTAATAAATCTAAGTTTAAAATACAAATAAAGAAATAATTAAACAATTTGAGTTTTACAGTGAAGGATTGAAATAAAATGAAAACAATTCTAAATTTTATGAAGCATTCAATACAATTTACTTAAATCTGGTAGATCATATAATAGAGAAAGTGAATCATCAAAAAGTTTTAATAGAAGAAAAGGACCATTTATTTAGAACATTAATAAAATTATTACATTGTTTTTAACCATTGTAGTTTAGTCATCATAAATTGGAAGCATTTAAAGTTGAATAAAAGCTACGAACTTCATCAAGTTTAGAAAAAGAATTTAATGAACTTTATTATTAATTGCTTTCTAAGAGTTGATATATGAATTAATATTTTAAAATTATATAAATAATTGACATATATGGAATAGGATAGTGTTTCTATTTTATGTGAATAAAAGGAGAGAAAAATTAAGTAATTGCAAATGATCTACTTAGAGTAATCTTGATTGGAGATCAATCTGTAGGTAAAAGTAAACTAATGGAATGTCTTTTGAATATTGAATCAAAAGTTAATGATAAATAAATATAATCTGTAGATTTCTTCATTTCCAGAATTCTATTACCAAATAAAACAACATAAAAGATTCATGTATGGATTACTTCTGGAGAAATAAAGAATATGTTTTTATATAAAATTGATGTTTAGTGCCATGATTAGAGCATTTCTGCTTTAGAGTAACATTTATATCATAGCATTTTCATTAAATAATATGATAACCCTTGAAAATGCATTAAATACATGGTTTTAATAATGTGTTAAAAATGCTAAACAAACAAATGCATATTATTATTTTTTAGGAACTATGGGTGATCTTGAAAGGAAATGTCCATAATATAATGAGATAATAAATTAAATAAATGAAAAATGTATAGAATATAAGCTAGCAGTATTTGGTTCAAAAAAGACTCATCCAATAAATGGAATTCGTTAATCTGAAAAATGGAATGATGATCATATTATAGAGTTTGCAACTAAAAAACTACCATAAAATGTTTATTATTCAGAATGCTCAGCAACTGAAAATTTAGGAATGGATAGAAGTATGAGTATATTTACAAAACTAATAATGTCTGCTATGGATATTTAAGATAAATTAAATGGAATAGTTAAGATTACTGAATAATCAACAAATACATAACCTTAATTATAATCTGCTTAAGATAAAAAACCTTCAGTTAAGATTGAAATTTAATAGCAACCTCAAGAAAAATAAGAAAAAATGTGTTGCAAAATATTTTGAAAAAATAAATTAAATATAATGATCAATTATTTAAAATTAAAGGTTAACCTGATTAATTTTGATAAAACAATAAATAGGGTGTCTCTTCTTCTCTATCATAAATATTATATATCAATTACATAAGTTCTTTATCAAGTTGATCACTATTATATTCTAAATTTGTTATCATCGTATCATCAAAAGTTACCCAAACATCTGGTTTATCAAGTTATCTAGCATAACAAATGTAATGTCCAGAGTTACTATTTTTACCCTATTTTATTATGATATTATATAATCATACCAGATGGATAATAAATGCATAAAGATCATAGATACAATCTCTACTATTTAATTTTTATTTATTAAAGATATGTCTAAAATCAATTTGAAATCTAAATGGTACTTTTGTTAACATTTTTTTCATTGTTAATGTAGTAGAATCAAATGTGAAACTTAAATATGATATTAAATATACCGATGCACTATCATAAATAAGACAGATGGTAATTAAATCAGTTATTAAGATTTATAAACTTAATTAGTTTTTTAATTGCATCTATCACAAGTATATTCTATTTATTCTTTTTCATATGCTTTTCTAATCATATCATAAAGATCTTAATTATCTTCTTCTTCTTCATTAAAATGTAAATCTATTCCCAAAAACTTTTCTTTAGGACGATATGTTGGTTATCTTTTAGGACAATTAAAACATTCAATACATGATCTATGATACCCAAAGAAAATCTTCTCTAATGGTATTTATAAATGTTTTGGCAATAATTCTAATAGATCTTCAAGAAAATGATGTACAAATTCACTTACATCTTATTAATCATTTGTATTACTATAAGGTTCTCTTAATTATCTTTTTAATTCATAAGGAGAACAATATCCTTTTTTTTAATAAGTCAATAATAAAAATAATTTTTAAAGACTACTTAATTTTGATGCATGAGGAATCAATTATAATGATTAATCTGTAAATTTTAATTGAATTACAAACTTTCTAAAAGATTATGTCATATATAAACTTTATAATATACTATTCATAAAACAAGTATTAGTAAGATTTTCAAGACCAACAAAATCTTTTGAATCTCTTTATAAGATATTTTAATCTATATAACTCTCAAATTCTTAAAATTGTGAAAAATTCCATTAATTATACTTTTCACTTTTTTATATCGAATCTTTTTATTAATAGATTTTTATGATATTTAAAAAGTCATCATCCATATTTAAACCATCATAATATTTTGCAATATTTACTAAGAAATAATATCTTTAGCTAACAAATTCCTTTTAAAATACTTTAGAATTTGATATTAATTTCAACCTGTTGTATAATAAATCCAAAGATTTTTTTAAAGGTTCTTAATCAATTGATGACATACCAACAATATAAAATTATAGTAGATCAATTAATTCTGTACTATGATTAACCATTTAGATATTTCCTAAAAGAGAAGTTAAAATGAATTCTTTGTAAATATATTTAAGAATGTCTGAATATTATTTACTTCTTAATTCAATTGCATATTCATAAAGATATTAACTTATTATTCTAATAAAGATTATACTCTATTAAGTAATTGAATAAAAAGTTAATCCTTGAAATATTTTAAGTGTCACTTATGAATTATTAAAATAATTTAGAAGCATATAACTTTTATATTTCTCAAGTAATTCAATAATATTTTTTTGTGATATCTATAAATTAAAAAAAAAAATACTTTACGTAATAATATAAATAATCCAATAGAATTTCCTTCATAAGCATATTAAATAATACCAGTCAAAAGAGCTAACCAATCATGAACTTAATTTTGATTTGCACTCCCTTAACCATAACATTAAGATAATAAAACATCTGCCAATCTTTCTAATAAGGAAATATCAATTAAATCAGCCTTTTGAAGACATTTAAATGGAATTAACATTAAGGAGAATAATTCTGGATTAAATCCTAAGTCTAATGGACATAATGTTGAAATCATTTGAATTATAGATCTCTATTTAGTTATGTCATTTTTATCTAAACGTAATTGTTAAATAATAGTTCCATTTTATCTAAATTCTGTAATGAGTTTCTCTGTCTAAAATCCCAATTCTTTTAAGTAAGCTTTTTATATATCCTATCGACTAATTTGCTAAATATATTTAACATATAAGTATATGTGATTTAAATCTCTAGCAGATTCACATGCCTTTTTAAATATTTATATAGCTTCATTTTCAAGATTTTGAACTTGAATTTTGAAAATATTTCCAAAATTAATTTTTAAAGCATGTTCAAGTAATAAATCAGAATCTTATTTAAAATTGTGAATGTGTTTATAAATAGCTTAAAGATCAAGGTTTTTAGTATTATTTTTATTGTTTTCAAGTATTTTGATTTTATCATTAAGAGTTATTGCATTGTCTAATATAGTGTTCATATAGGAATTTTAATTGAAAATTGAATTTAAATTTAGGAGTAAATAAGAATAATATATTATTACAAAGTATAAGTAAATATAGAAAAAATATATAAATAATAATAAAAGTTGTGAAGTTCTCTTAAACAGTTATATTAAAAATATGAAATAATAAATTGCACCAAAACCAAAAATTACTACATAATTACCAATATTGCCAGAAATAAAAAGATAATCGAAGGAAGGGACTCCATTGTAAGTTGCGTTTGAATATATAGGAAATTAATGAAACCAGCTGTTTAGAATCCTTTGTCTTAATCTAGACTTTCAAGATAATCAAGCAGCATAGAAACTACAATATCATAAGAATCTTAAAGAAAGTAGTCTTAAACAAAAAAACAGAATGTAGAATCATTAGTGAAAAATAAGACCTATTTTAATCATCGTTCTTTAATGAATGATTATTTGAAAAGATAGAACATTTCAATTGCAACAAAAGTGTTTTGTTTTAATTCTTAAGATGAGTATATTCGTCGATGTTTACAAAGACATGGCTGGCTTGAAACTCCTTCAAACTAATAAATTTTTGATCTTAAATGGGTTTATACAGAAAATACAGATGATTTTAAAACATTATTAGATGGATAATTTTACAATCATTTTAGTAATACCAAAGAACTTACAACTAAATCATGTTTATTAGCAAATTTTAAAAATTAATGTGAATATGGTTATGATACAAGTACATTCTTTCCAAGAGCATTTGATTTAGGGAATGCAATAGATAGAGAGGATTTTCTTAAAGAATATGAAAGGACTGCAGTTACAATAATATTGAAAAAGGCAATTAGTGCATTAAGACTAAAAAGGAAAAATGAAATGAAGAAAATAAAGGAAAGAATATTTGAAGAATGGAAAATAAAGAATGAAAATTAAAAAATTAGAAAAATTGATATGAAAAGAACTGTTAAAAGGAAATATAAAAATATTTATACAGCATAAGAATTAGAAGATTAATCATAAACATCAGAAATAAAATTTGATTGTTTAATTATGTCAGAAGTATTGTCTAGATTATCAGATATGAAAAGATAATTAAAAGATGGATTTTATGATGATAAGAATTTTGAATTAAGCCATTAATATATCTCTAAAACTAGATTAAAGTATTTTAATAATGAAAATTTAGTTTAATTGTATATTCTCAAGTTTAGAAGTTTGATAAAGGTTCGAATCCAAGTTAATTTATGATTAGAAAATTATATAGATATCATTTGTTTTTTAAAAAGTATGATTAAGCTTACAAAGTTGATGGAATAAATAATATATGGATTATAAAACCTGGTGGTTGTGCAAGAGGATAAGGAATATATCTTGAAAAGGATATTACTGAAGCTATAAGTAGTGGTTTATAGATGTAAGCGAGATTAGTATAAAAATATATAGAAAGACCATTATTATATAAAGGATTTAAATTTGATTTAAGATAATGGGTTTTAGTAAGAAGTTTTTAACCATTGCAAGCATATGTTTTTAGTCATTGTTATATGAGAATGTGTAGTCAACCATATGATGTTAAAGATACAAAAAATTTATTAAAGCATTTGACAAATTTTTCATTAAATAAATAAGAATTTAAGAAGTAAGTGAGCAATAATAATACATTAGCCAAAATGATTCAATCTACAGTAGTGATTTTATGTAACAATGGCTTCCAGTTGATTGGTAAAAGATAGTTAGACCTTAATGCAATGACTTAATGATTAAGACACTTAAGATATTATAAGATTAATTTGAAGGTGAATCTAAATATTGTTTTGAATTATATGGTTTTGATATTATGTTAGATCAATATTGTAAACCATGGTTATTAGAAGTTAATTTATCACCAGCATGTGCTGAAAGAGCTGATTGGTTACATGAAATGTTAGATTCTATGGCTGAAAGTATGTTTAATATTATTTTTGGTGATGAATTTACTAAACCTAAAAAATATTATTATGAATTATTAATTGATGAAGAATTTAATTATAATAATTCATAATAAAATTAATAAAATGATTCATAATTTGAATTATGGGGATAAAAATGTAATATTAAAAGAGAAAAAATTATTGATAAAAGATATATTGAATCTTTAGCTGCTTTAATGATTTAAAAATTTTATAGAATGTATAAAGCTAAAAAAATTAAATGGTTTTTAAGAGATACTAAATATGCTATTATTATATAAAAATATGTTAGAAGAATGCTTGCTAAATTATTAAGAATAAGATTAAAAAATTATTATTCAGCTACAAAAATATAAAAAATTGTTAGAGGATTTCTAGCAAAAAAAAAGAAATATCATTTAAAAAGAGATAAAATGGCTACTAGAATATAATGTAGATTTAGATGTAATCAAGCTAAAATTATAATGAATTAATTATAAAAAGAATTAGCTCTGTTATATTTACAATAATTAATCTCTTTTAAAATGTCTAAAAAAGAAGCTAATGATTTGAGATCTAAACTATATAAATATAAAAAAATCTAAAGATGGTGGAAATCCTTATATAGAAAAAGAATTAAATAAAGTGCAAAAATTAATTCAATTTTTAAATGGTATTTATAGATATTATATTCATTTAGTTTTATATAAAAAAAAAGATATAAGAAATTACTCAAAAATCATAGATCTGCAATTATTATTTAAAAAAATTACAAAAGATATAAAGCCATTAAACTAAGAAAAAGATTAGAAAGAGAATAATCCACGCTCTTGTTATAATGTTTAATGAGAATCAAATTAGCAAAAAGATAAAAGAAATTATTAACTATTTAAGATGGATTAAATAAATTTACAAAAGCTTATGGTCGACATAAATCAAGAGTAGCCATGGTTAATATTTGGAATAAGGGATTGTTAAGAGTTAAGGCTATTATGAAAATATAATCATATCGACTTGTCATTAAATCTAAACGATATGCTAGAAGACTTAAAAGATTAAAGAAATTTATTAAATTACAAGCATTTATTAAAGGATTTTTATAAAGAAAGAGATATAGAAGATTAATCTAAAGAAAAAAAGCTATTAAAATAATTATTAAATGTATTAGAAGATATATTTTTAAAAAGAAGATAAAGAGAAGACTTTAATTAAAAAAAGGAAGGGGACTTAATTTCAATTCTTAATAACCAAGCAAAACTAATACAATTTAAACTATTTCTACTAGAAATTCACAAACTTTATAATAATTTCAAAGCAAAAATACAAAGAAATAGACAATATAAATTCCAAAAAAAAAATGATTCAAATAAAACTAATTAGATAGAAAAATTATCAAAATAATGTTTTCTATTTTCCCATATAAGTTGGAAGTGCATCTAGATTTAATTTAGGCACTCCATTTATTTATTAGATTTTACCCATTTTTACACTACTTGATCTAACTTATTAACGAATCCTTTTTGTATCTCCTTCTCGATTACTTTCCTATCTTGCACTCTCTTTCTTTTCATTAAGAAGAGATTTCAAAATTCTATTTTCTTCTAAAATCAATTTTATTCTTAATTCCAAATGTTCAACTCTCATTTTCTCTTTTTTTAGTTCTTATTCATGACCACAACATTTATAATACTAATTTTAAATATTTTCCTTATTATTATTATTATCTTAAATAGTCTCAAATTTCTTTTGCTTATTATCAACTATTTATCCTAAAATTTATTCATTTTCTCCATTTAACAAACTATCTACAGTCTGGTAATTTTAATTATTTTGTATTATTGATATATTGCCTATTTTTTGTTATAATTATTCAATATCTTATTCCTAAAAATCTAGTTATTTTAGATCTCTTAAAATATTTCTCAAAAATGATAAATGTCCTTCTTCTTCTAACATTTATTCAATAAAATTTTTTAAACAAATATGAACAGCTTCAGTTTCATCTCTCCCAAAACCACTTGCATTAATACCTTTAAACCTTTTTATTTATTTGATTATGTATACATAATACTACATTCTACACATTTATAACCAACTGATTTTTAATTTTTTGTAATTCCAGCTGCAAGTAATATATTTAGTAGTTTATCTAAATCTTTATTTGGAAGGCTATTAAATATGCTCTTAACTTGTTATACGACTAATTTGTTCATATGACAGTTAAATTAATTTAATTAAAGTAAATCAGAAATTATATGAGAAAGTATTTTAAATAAGTGTTCAATGTCAAAAATTATATTCATTACTGAAGTAAGAATGATAAAAATAATTATTTCTAAAGAGGATGGATAGAAAAAATAATTTAATGAAAATATTGAGAAATTTCATAGACATACAAGATATCTGTGAAAATTATTAATAAATTAAAGGTTCTTAAGTTATTTTTAGAAATGAGAAATAGAAAAAATAAATAAAATTTAAAATAGCAAAATGAATCGATAAATTAAAAGTTCATAAATTGGTACTGAAATTTGATTAGGCGCTGATTATTGTTTATAAAATTTAATAATGTATATGTTGACAAATGAAGTGTTTCTTTTTTTGTAATGGTAGAATTGTTTCTAAAAAATAAATTATTAGATTTTATAATTAGTAACTTAATGAGTTTCTTAGATTGAATGATTTTTGGTTTGAGTTTAAAATTACGGTAAAAATAAAAATATTGAATATTTATTAACTTATGGGAAGTGCATTACGATGTGGGATTCAAAGAAGACCAAAGAAAAGCAATACACATAAATTGATTGCTCAAAAATACTTAGGAAAATGTATTGATTGAAATTTAAGTGTAGTTGAACAATTTGAACTTGATATGTTGACTCTTATTTTCAAAGACCTAGCTTCTAGATAAAATAATTAATTATTAAGTAGAGATACATTCAATACCTTCTTTTAAATAATAGTTTGTAGCATATAGATTATTAATGTAGGGATTTTGGGGAGAACAAATATTTAATAAGTTTACAAATAAGCAAGAAGACTACATGAATTTTGATGAGTTTTTGGCAGGAATGGAAATGTACATAAAGTGTTCAGATGAACAACGAATAGTGAATTTATTTTAGCTTTATGATTTGTAAAACTAGAAAGGGATAGCCAGAAGTGATTTTTTATAGATGGTATTAAGTGTTAGATTAATAATAGATGCAAAATTACCCACAATATGAATTAAAGAAGATTTGTGAAGATTAGCTATTTTTAGATGAATCTTAAATAATTAATGATTTTGGTAATCGACGTAAGCATCATCGTAGAAAGTATAAGAATAGTGCAGATATATTGGAATTGTCAGGTATATATAAGAGAATATCATGCAAGTTCAACAATACCGAAAATAGAGTTAGAATATTTCAGAATAGTAGTTCGAGAGTTCAAATAAAATAATATCAGAAGGTTTATAGAGTTGTTTTTCAAAGTAATCAGATGCGCTCTTTGTTTAAGATAGCATGATATAAGAAAATGGTTTTTCTTAAAAACGATTTGGATTAGTATTAACAGCTCAAGTATAAAATAAAAAATATAAGGTTGACGGTTAAAAGATAGAAATGTGTGTGAATTAAAGTTTACTAATAAAAAAATATGTGGATTTTGTTTATAAGAATAAAAATGATTAATTATTGTCATTATAAGAATTCTAGACATTTATTGCAAAGCATCCAAATTTAATCCAACCTCTTTACACAGCATTTAATTATAATATCTGGGGGATGATAGATAAATAGCCAAATTATAAATAACTGTAAAAATGAGATGAATACAATATATAGAATGCTAATTATGTCAGGAGAGTTATATAGAATATCGAAGAAAAATGAGGCAAAATAGAAGTATTGTGAACTATATCCACATGTGCTGTTAGAGTTTGATAAAAAGGGAGAAAGTCCTTCAAAGGTGATTTGTTTATAGGGTTTGATAATAGAGGAAAAGATGCACCAATAAAATTAGAAGTATGGTTTTGAAGTATTACATGTTGGGAAATAGTATAAAGGTAAGAGTTATGGATGCTCAGATGATAAGCAATTTAGAATGTGGTAGAATGCATTGGAGGCTTATAACAAGTATATATGATAGTATTATGGGAGTGGAGAGATAAGCAAAAAGTATTCAATATTGGAGAAGATTGGACAGGGCTAGTCATCGATGGTATATAAATGTTAGGATAAGTTGACAAAGGAGACATATGCTTTAAAGATAATAAATAAACAATAGATACCAATGAATTAAGTAGAAACTATAAAGCATGAGGTTGAGATAATGAAATTGATAAATCATCCATATATAATAAGATTGGTAGAGAGTTTTGAGAATAGAAGTCATATATATTTAGTTACAGAATTAATAAAGGATGGAGATTTATATGATTATGTAGAAGAAAAGAAATATTTGGCTGAGGAAGAAGCAGCTATGGTGTTATCATAGTTAACAGAAGCACTGTTATGTATACATTCAATGGGTATTGTACATAGAGATATTAAACCAGAGAATATTATGATAGTATTGAATTAGAATTCAATTAAATAAGTAAAGATTATTGATTTTGGATTTGCTAATTATTTATCTATTTTGAATGAAAGAAAAGAGAATTTTGAATGTGGAACTATGAATTATATTGCACCTGAAGTTTATTAACATTGTAAAGAATTAACTTCTAAAATTGATAATTTTGCTTTAGGAGGTGTTCTTTATTTTATGTTATGTGGATATCATCCTTTTTATTCAGAAATATTATTAGAAATCAAAGAAAATATAATTGATGGCAATTATGATATTTAAGATGAGTTTTGGTAATGTGTTAATGATGATGTAAAAGAACTAATTGTAGGATTATTCGAAGTAGATCCAATTAAAAGATTATCATTATAATAAGTTAAAGATCATATTTGGATTAAGAAATTCTCGGATAAGCGTAAATCCAAGAAGAAATGATATATATATCATCATACAAAACCACATTTTGATATCCATATATATATATATAGAATTAATTATACTTTACAAAATATTCAAACACCCAAATTACCATATAAATGTATTACACTCTCTTATTTATTTTTATCTTAACAAACAATAGCTAATATGAATTTATTAGGATGAAAACATATTTCTGTTGGTTAACCTTCTAATTTAATTGAATCAATATGATCTGTTTTTCCTGCTAAACATCTATCTACTTAATAGATATATGCTTATTCTTCTAATCCAATTGCTGCTATATATTTACTATCATAAACAGACATTGATTTGATCTCTGATTCTATTGTCATCAATTATCCACAACATAATAAATCTGGTAATTACCAAACCAATATTAAAGAATCTTATGAACCTGTATACATATGCTAACCATCTTTACTGAATCTACACTAAGTTATTCCACTTCTATGTGCTTCCATTTAATAAATAGGTGGTAATTAAGGATTATTAACATCCATAAATTATATCATACCTACTCCATTCTATTATCCAACTGCTACTAAAACATCTCTATCATACATTATATTTTTTAATTCAAAATTCTTATCTTTATCTTTTGGTTAATACATTATTGATCTCTCACCTCCTTACATATCTATAAACATTATCTGAGTCTCTTTATTTTATTTTATACCTACTGCTAATTCATTACCATTTAAACTCCAACACGCTATCCCCATTTATTCCTTCTTTTCTTATCTTATACTCTATTTTGTACGGATATCCCATATCTTTACATACTCCTTTGTTATTGATGCTATGATATCTGGTTAATTTGGATGAAATAATAATTTCTCCAATTATTCTGATCCTTATTTTAAATCAGTTGATCTCTTAATATTATTCCCATCAAACGACCAAATCTTTATAGAACAATCATTTGACGTAGCTAAATAACTCCCATTGCAATTCCACTCCATTGATTTTATTGTCTTACGCTCTTAATGAGTTTTCTCTTTCTATGAATTTTTTGGGTATTCTTTAAATTATTAATAAAACATGTTTTAAAAATTTATATCTGAAATTCTAATTTTCTTTATATAATAACAATCTTATATTAATATTCATATTGCTGCTAAAAGCTTTTACTTATCAAGTTCTTTCTATTACATCTCTTTTAATTTATCTTCAATCATTTGATTCTCAATCACTTTCTTCATTCTACCACCATAGTATGTCGCTAATGCTTATATTACATAAAATCCTACAAACACCACTGCACAAACTATTGCATATTATTTTGAATTTGCCTTAGCTATTTTTAAGATTTAAAGTACTTACCAGCTTCTATCAATCCATACCATATAGGTATACAGACTCCCCAAGTAAAGATAGTCATAAGAATGACATAAATGTAATCAATGCATTCAAAAGGATAATAACCTGGAGTAGTTCCATGAAATTTAGGTTTGTAGGCTCCAAATTTTCTAATATTTATAAAAATAAAGAACTTACCTGGTGTAACCATCGTCTAACATAGGGTCTTCGATAATAGTTGGATCAATTTTGTGATAATCTTGTTAATCCATTATGTAAAAATAATAATTATATTTAAGAATGAATTTAATTTATTAAAACAATATAAACATCGATAAAATGTCATTTATAATAATTACAATAAAAACTAACAAATATATTCATTCAGTATAAGATGACAGAAATAAGTAAAATAAAAAATTAGAATTTTAATATTAGATAATTTGGGAACATAAAGTGTAAAGATAGTAAAATAGTATATAGAAGAGGATGATATTGATGATATTTAAGATAATGAATGATAAACTTGAATATAAATTTCATAATTTTTTTATTACTCTCCCAAATTAATTATCAAATCTTCTCTCCATAGTTAATAGAAATTGATCATCTATAGATTGATTCAGATTTCTTATTGATAGATGAATATCTAAATAGAATTTGATTGTTAAATTACATTATAGAAGTACTTCATTAAAAATAATTATCAACAGCTAATAGATAGTAATTATCAAGTTGTTTAGGAGCAAATAGAGATACAATTAATTTCTTAACCATTATATGCCATATTACTTAAATAGGAGTGTTGGAATTTATTAAACAATAGTTAGTTACATCCCAAAAGATGAGATCATAACTACGACAAGTAGATATTAATTTGGTATAACCAAAACTAAAATCTATTTTTTTATGTTTTCTAAATGGTTTTAAATGTATTACAAATTCTGGAAATTTATTTATGTACTTGCAATTATCATGATATCCTAATGCTTAATATTCACTATTAATGGAACACTTTATATTTTAAGTAATTTTTCTATGTTAATTCTCTATCATAAACTCTAACACCCCCATCTTTGAATCCATCTATAATAAAATCAGAATTCACTCCTATTAATTTACCTCTAACACTATCAGGATACATAAACATTTTCATCGAGTGTTCTATCAATAAAATTGAAATTTATACAGTTCTATTAAATAGAATTTGTTTTCTTTAAAAATTACTCCATAATCTAAGAGTTGCATCATCTCCACATGAATGACTCCACATGAATGAATATAAAAATTCTCCTTCAATATCCCCACAATGTCTTTTCCTCATAATCTTAGGTTTGATTTTGTTTAATTGCTTATTTTTCTATCTTTTGTACACACAAGAATAAATTAATGTATTATATTAATTAATTTTTCTTATAATTAAAAAATTATAATATTAAATTAATATTATAGAGATCTTAATTATATACATAATATTTCAAATCAAAATTTTGCCATACTTATTATTCTTCAGAATAAGAAACACCTTTAGTAAATGGTTAAAATGCTGATTTACTAATATCTAATAAATATAATTTGTATGATGAAATCTTCTTTGATTTATATTGCATCCTGTATAGTAATATGTTAATCTTTACCCCCAGTAAATAAATATATTCTGATTTAAAATAAAGCATCTACTTATAAGGTATGATGTTCAAGTGCCTGTTATCTCAGTTTTTTCAAAGATTAGAACTTTATCTTGATTATCAGCAATATAGAGTTGATAATTATCAATTAAAAATGTATTCAATATAAGTTTATCTCAAATCGGTATTTTCATCAGGAGGCTAAGATCAACTATATATTTTCATTGATCCATTTGATTTCATTAATAATTTATTTTCCTGATTAATATAAAAAATGACAATGGTAATATTCATTCATATAACCACAATTATTTAATTGAGAGGGGAAAAGTGATTATATTACAACATTTTTTAATTATGAAAATTTGGATAAGGCTTATCAAGTATTACTATTCTATAAATAAATAATTGCATTATTAATTTGACTTGTTGCTCCTCTTATACCATCCTAATGTAAATTCATAGTTATAATACCATCTTCATATATAATACATGTTGAATATATTCTATTAATTTAGATTCATACTGATTTTAAGAATCGAATTTAATTTTTATAATCATTTTCTTTCTCCAACCAAATACATCTTCTAAGTCTAAATAATAATTAGTGTTGTATTTTAGCAGAATGATAATAATAGGTTTTTAACCAGCAGCAATACCATATAATTTAGTTTCAATTTCAAAATAAAACTAAATCCAATTAATGGTAAATGATCTAAATATTCCAATCAAATGGAAGATCTATTATCAATAGTTTTAGATTGATTGCAATAATATCTAATAATTTTACTATCACCACCTCCTAAATGTATCTTCATCCATTACACAAGCTGCTAATTTCTTCCATTATTTAAATTACATGAATTGCTAATACTTATATCATAGTTATTCTATTAAGATCTAAATCATAAAATCTAAACATTAAATCCCATTTAATATTCATCTATATTTCAATACCCTTAAATTTGTATATGTCATTAATGATAATACAAATTCTTATGTTTCAATCTTTCTTGAACTACTAAAATTAAACTTTCCAAATATCTTCACGATTACATCAATACTCTCTCTTTGGCTCCTCCTTTTTTTGCCAATTAAAATTCATCTTTTGTTATTCTTAAATCAACCTTTGGTTTTATTCACAACTCTATCTCCACCTTTACCTCAACAACATCATATCACATATCTTATTAACAGCCCTGTATATTTCTTAAATTAATTATTAAATACCAAATTATACTAAACTCAATACTTTAAGATAATTTATATATATATTCATTATTTCATTACATCATTTTGATATTCCATCTCCTTTATATTTTACTCCTTATTTCTTATATTCACATTTCCATCAATTTCAATCCATTTACCATTTTTCAACCCATTTTCACCATATAAACCTCCTCCACTAATTAATTATTTAATTTAATTACATTTTATTATAATTATAAAATGTGTCCCAATTCCCTTTTTTCTTTCCATTATCATACTTCCCTATGTAACTAAGTAAAGTGCTATCCAAAATTATTATAATATTTCAAACTTTAAATATGGATCATTTATATCAATCCAATTTCCATTTTTATATCCATTACCATAAAAACCATAACCTCTAAATATTTAAATAAAATCATACATTAATTTCATATTTAAATTTGCCTCCCATTTTCCATATTTTTTTGAATCAATATATTCTCCAATAACATATAAATTTGCTCTATTTTATTGTAAATATATTACTATAAAAACTTTTCAGCCAATTCTATCCATTTTCCTTACTTCATTCCATTGTCATCATAAAAACCTCCACCACTATTAATAATATTACTATTCTACATTTTAATATTCTACTAATTCATCTACCAATAACCAACCTTTATTCCATTCCAATAAACTCCATTATATGTTATCATTTATTAACTTCATATTTAACAAATGTTTACTCCCAAAATATTGGATGCAATTCAATCCATTACCCTTATTAAATACCATTTTAATCATATGTTCCTCCTCCTCTATTCTCGATAATTTTTATAATTACATAATTTTATCCTTATAAATAATCTCCCATCTTCCAATCTTTTTTCCATTTTTGAATTATCCACTCCATATAACTTTACAAAGACTGATTCCTTATTTAATTAAATACTTATCAAAATTTTCATCTAATATAATCCATTTTCCATTTTTTAATTCATTTTCATCATAAAAACCTCCTCCTCTAATTAAATGCTATAATTTCTTACATAATATCATATTAATATATTGTATCCCATTTTTTAAATTTCTTTCCATTTTTATACTCTCCTTTATATTTAACTTAACATCCACTGATATTATAATTATCATAGATACTTTTAAAAATGTTCGTGTAACTCAGTCCAAATACCAATTTTAGTGTCAAATGAATATTCTCCTTAACATCTAGAATTAAACCTTTTCTATTTTATACATAGGATTTTTATTATATATTCCCTGCCACTTTCCTATTTTTTTTTCATTGTTATACATTCCTTCATAAATTACCTTACCAAAACTTTTCATTTAATGAATTATAAATTACTCATAATAATTATCCTGCAACTCAACCCATTTTCCATTTTTCATACCATTGTCATTATAAGTACCTCCTCCTCTATAAAATGAATTTCAATCTATACATTATATCATTCTTATGAGAAATATATAATTATTTATATCCTTTTCCATTCTTGTATTATCCTATATATGTTATCTCATGATTTCTATTAGAAATCTCAATCCATTCCCCATCCTTTACTCCTCCTTCCTTATAATTCCCACCTCCTCTGTATGATATATAAAAAATATTTTACATTTTTTTATCTTCCTAAAATGTTTGCCAATTTCCAATTTTAATACCTTTTGAATACTTCCCTTTATATGTTATCTAACCCCAACTTAAATATTTAGTGAAAATACTCAAAGAAATTTTCATATAAATCAACCCAATTTCCAACCTTTATTTAATTATCATTATAAGTTCCAAATCCTCTAATTATTAAATAATCATAATAAACATTATTTTATTCCTATAAATTTGAGTCCATTCTCCTACTTTCTTTCCATTCTAATATTTTCCAATTTATCTAAGTTTGCACCAACTTTAAAATATTAGAATTAAAACCTACTATAATTTTCAAAAGCCTCAATCCATACTCCTGTTTTTTCTCCCTCAATATTATACATTCCTCCTCCACTTATAATCAAATCAAATATACATCTCAATATCCTTTTAAAAAATTGTCCATTATCCTTTTTTCTTTCCATTATCATATACTCCTTCATATGTTACCTATGCTTTACTATTTTATTGATGTTAGATTACTCCCAATAATTTTCAAATAGTTCAATCCAATTTCCTGATTTTTCTCCTTCATCATTATAATATCCCCCTACCTTAAGCTTTTCACCTCTCCAAACTGCATTCCATTTACCTATCTTTTATCCCTAACAATTAGTTTTGCCAACCCAAAATAATCTTTTAAGTTACTCAAAGTTTTAATTTATATTTTCTATTGAATTTGAAGCTATATATTTTTAACTAATATATGAATTCAATTTTTTATACATTTTCAATATCTCTCCGTCTTTAATAAGTAAAAGTTCCAATTTCTCATTTAATTAAATTGTAATTTCACTCAAATACAATCTCTAGCCATACTTTAAAAACCCTAATAACTTGCAGGTTTTTTATTAGAGTAATTTATTTTCCAAATCTATTCCTTTTCCTTAAAACACTGTTTATATTTAAAATGCCATCAAATAAAAATTTTAAATTAAAAATTTATAAGATAATGTTGGATCATATAATTTTAAAGTATTTATAAGATTTATTTAAATGGCAATAATGACAATTATTTATATAAATAAACTTCCTCATATAGATTAAAAATCTACCGAATGAGACTAGACATATTAACTTTCTTTTTAATTCCATTCAATTAAACTTTGCAGATATAATTCCTAAATGGTTTAAGATTTATCATAATAATTATGATTATGATTTTATTGGTTGGATTATAAAACACTTTATTATAATGAGCGATTAATAGAAGTTAAGCCAACAAAAAGTTGACTATTTAAGACTACTCCTTAATCTCCTCTCGAGATCAAATCTTATTAAGATATGTTATCTTTCTTAATTACTTAAGTGTTATTGCCTAATCCAAACATTTCTAATGTCGTTGGTTCTTAAAGTAAAATATCATTTTTGAATGGATCCATAAGTATTTAATCGTAAAAGTTACCGGTATAAAATATATTAAATTCATTTCTTTAGATTGCAACCAAAGTGGTAGTAAGTATCATTAATATTTATGTAAAGATAGAACTAATTTAGATAATTTAGAAATACGTTGGAAGAGGGAATGAAAATATGAATTATATCACTACCCATAAAATAAGTCCAAATAATAAACCAAAGAAAGCAATAATTTCATATACATAAGTTTACTTATGATTATCAAATCTATTTACATAGCCTAAAAAGAATCCTTATTTTTGTATAAATAATTTACCAGGAAATAGCAAATTGAAAATAGAAATCCAGGCACATTTTTTTTTATAAATTTGATGAAAATAAGGAAATTATGCTGAAAGCGGTGTATTAAAATATCTCAGTGCAACACTATCCCATTCATATCTGACTGTTTAACTTAGATATATAGAAGAAAATATATCTACAATCATGATAGGTATAAAAAATTAAAGAGAATGTTTTAAAGATGTTATTTTGAATAATTTAATCATAGATCCTAAAATACAAATTGATAAAAGATTACTAACCTAATAATAAATATCTAATAATACATACAAACCATGGTTATTCAAAATAAAGATATAAAAACATAAGTAAGGTTGATAATACAATAGATAAATAATCCCTAATTTTTAAACAAAAAATCTTTTCAGCTAAAAATGTAAATGTATTTCTGAATATACCAAATATTTCATTAAAAAAATGAAATGAAGTCAGACCACAAATAAAATATATAAAAATTTTAATAATTTTCTCTGCTTTATCTTGATAAATCATGGAAGTAAATAAAGCAATTAATAAAAATCCCATATAACCTAAAGCTTAAGGCCAATATAAATAAAATCCTTAAAATGGACTTAAATCAACATTTTGAATATTTTATTATTAAAACTATCTTCTTTTTGCTGGTGTTACAAAAGCTACTCGAAATGAATAAATTTTCCCAAAAGTTGCTAAAATAATAATAACAATAGAATCAAAAGTAATTAAAATTATATTGCTCCAATCAAATCTAAGAATAATATTAATTATACCTTTTAGGATGGTATTGGCTATCACAAATAAATTAATATTAGAAATTGAATCCTTAATAGTCTTAAAAACGAATAAAGACATTTTAAATACTCCAATAATTGGAATTTTTTACTTATCTTTCGCAACTATGAATAAAATCAATAACAATGCTTTAATGAGGTTGTATGATTGGAAAATTAGATAATTTAGGAGCAACAGAAATATCTTAATAGTCTAAATAATCTTTTATTGTTAATTCTCTCAAAATAATTGTTTCATTTTAATTATTTGTAATAGTCAAGGGTATTATAAATTTTGATTTTCCATGACCATGAATAGATTGAGAATCTACTTTGTATTTAGTTAAATTAGTAGGACAACAAGAAAATAGAGGAAATTAATCATAATCAAAATATTTATTGATGAGATTATGTTAATAAATAGTTTGAGGCAGGTTTTCTTCAGGGTCTTTTTATTTTGGTGTGATAGAGCCAAATGAGAGTGATACATCTGGAAATGCAAAGGTTTTTATGATAATTTGAAATAGTATTATATTAAACATTAAATATAAAGTAAAATCAAATTTCATATTCTTTAATTTTAGTTTAGAGTATTTAATTTAATTATTTTTAATCTTCAATTTTCTTGGCTAACTTCTTAATAATAAGTTTTTATAAAATGATAATTTCATCTTTATCAGGTATTCTAACTTCTTCATCTGTGTCTTCAATTGTATTCGATAAACTATATTCTAATTCTGGTAAGACATCATTATGCTATATTTAAAGGCCTTTTAATAATTAAATCATCTATATATAAGTGTCATTAATTTTATCTTTAGAACGAGTATGAATTTCATTACCATCTTTAGCTACTTTGAATTTATGTTATAATAATTCTTATTATATATAAATGTCTTCATATTCAAGTTTATATTTATTCATTTATTTAGTCATTAATTTCATATCGTTCAAAATGACTTATTTTTCTTTTTTAATTAAACCCAATATTCCTTATATTTCTAATTATAATTCTGGAGTTTATTATTAAACACCTTCTAATTATTTTGTTGTTTCTTAGAATAGATTACAACTATTAATTGATTTATCTTTAATTTCAAATTCATATTAACTTAATGATCTATCTATTTAGGTAGAATTTTCTGTTTATTGATGAGTACTCATAGAATAACAATGAAGTCTTTTAGGACTAGGACTAATTTATAATTTTAGATTCTTAAGTTTAGAATAACTTAATTAAGGTTATTTAAAGAGAGGAGAATATGATTATTTTGTTTATTGCTTTTAAGGTTCTAAAATCGTTGTATTATGCTTTCTATTCTTTTATAAGAAGTCTTAATATTGTTTAATAAAAGAATTCTAGCTGTTTTATGAACGAGGCTTAAAATAAGGCATGCTCATATAAATAATGATATTAATTAAAATTCATTCTAATAATATTTTCTTTTCTTAAAAATATTTTGTAAATTCTTATTCAATAACTTATTTTTCAGCTCTTATCATACTAAATTCAAGAAGAAATAGATAATACAACTTCAGCTGTAAAATTAAAATTAAAGAATTTTTATGGATTTGAGTTAATGTCATAAATCAAAATGTCTTTTTAAAGTTAGCACTTGAATGTTTAATAAATGTTTACCTTTTTTACGATAGATTTCATCAGCTTAGACAATATTCTAAAAGTATTCTTGGGTAAATGTTTGTTGAATTTTAAGTAGTGTATATTGAATATTATGATAAGTCTTAATCATTAGAAATATGAAATAATAAATATTAGAAGAGTAATAATAATGGTAGGATAATAATGATATATATGTATTGTACTTATATTTATATATATTATTAGATCAGATTTCTAAACGCTTTTCACTTACATAGATACCATCCAAGAATTGTCTAATATCCTTATTCTTAACAGCACAAGCTTAATGAATAAGAGCACAGGTGAGTGATACATTATTCAAATCATTTCCTTAAAGTGTTAAGACATCTATAATTTGAATATAATGATTTAAATACTCTTTTCTTCAGCTTCATTTCTGGTGATAGTTACTCCTGGAAGACATTTAATTGTTCTAATGATCTTTTCACCAAGGAAATTCTTAATTTCAATGCCTAAACCCTTATCTAAAAGATTAATAATGATTGGAAAATGTGCATATGCCAAAACCATTTTGAATTTATAACCTGTGGTAACACCTCTAATCATATTTCTAATTTGTGAGGCTACTGAATTCACTTGGCATTTTTGCTTTCTATATGATTACCACATTCTAACACTCACTCTAGATTTAGCAACATTTGTTTTCTTATTAACTTTCTTTGAAACTTAGATGTCCAAAGCAGAATGTCTAAAATTTTTAGATAATTCACCTCTAGGTCCTAATAAATAATAAAACAATAAGTATATACCCTTAACTTTTACTATTTTAGATTTCTAAGTGATTTCTATCTTTTCAGGAATTGCCACATGCTCCTCAGTCAGAATGTATTTCATATCTTTTAATTCTTTTAATTAAAAATATTTGAAGTATGAATCCGTATTCTGCTAATTTTGATTGTATTAAGCATATTAATACACTCTTTCCTAATGAATAATCACTCGTTGGTATTGATACAGAAATTGAAAAACTATAATCAGAACTTACTTAACTTCAATCAGAATTATAGGAAGACATACATGAACATGCAGTCATGTAAAATAAAATATGGAGAGATGTTTAAGATGTAGAATAACTATCATAAGGAATTGTTACAGAAATATAAGAAATCAAGTAAAAAGCAGAAAAAAGTGAAGACTTAGTTTATTCAATGTGCAAAGATATTAAATCATTAGATATTGCTAAAAGAAACATTACATTTTCCATTGCAGCTCTTAAAAAATTTATTATGATGTTAACAGCTATTGAAAAATTAAAAGAACATTGTAAAGAAAAAAAATATGCTGAAGTTGCTAATCTATTATCAGCATTTACTGAGTTATCTTAATATTTTGTTAAATTTTAAAATATACCATAAATATTAGAAATAACAGGAGAAAAAGAATAGTTGATTAAAGACTTGAAATTATAATTGATAGATGATTTCATATTATTTTTAAAAGGCACAAATTTAATGCAATTAAAAGATTTATAAGATGCATGTTAAACAATAGAACATTTAGGATAAAAATTTAGAGATGAATTAGTTTAGAAAGTATGTAAATACATAATATCTCCTTATTAAGAATTATTTTAATAAATAGAGAATAGAAGTTTAGAAACAACAGAAAGAAGATATGCTTGGATGGCTAGAGTAATTAAAGATTTTGATACAAAGACATAGAATGTATTTCCAGAATATTGGGCTATCCATTGTTAAATTTATTATGAATTCTGTGCAGTAACTAGACTATAAATTACAGATATATTAGAATAATTAAAAGAATTAGATGTTGCTGTATTGATGAAAGCATTACAAGCAACACTTAAATTTGAATAGAAATTAAATGATGAAATGAAAAAAAGATATGAAGAATGGCTTGGCAAAAAAAATAGTAATTAATTTGCCATTTCAGAATTACCTAAAATTAAAGGAGCAATCTCAGATTGTTTTGAACCTTATTTAAGACCATATATAGATAGTGAAGAAAGAGAATTAATGTAACACATCACAAATATATTAAATTCAGATAAATTAGATGTTGAAGGAGATTTAAAAATGTTAAATTCATCCATGAGTATGTTTGCTTATTTTAAATAAATGCTTAAAAGAGCTTCATAATATAGTAGAACATAAGTTATGTTTGATATTTAGAAATTAATTAAGAAAGCTTTAAAGCGCTATTCTGATGAAATCGTATTAAAAATTAATTCATCTAAAAATAATGAATAACTTTCGTAAACTTACTGTTGTTTTGTAATTAATACAGCTGAATATTGTAAAGAAACAATTCCAGGATTATAAGAAAGTATGGTTTAACATTTAGATTCTCCTTTTTCTGATTAGGTAGAATTATCAAATGAAGAAGAATATTTCAATTCTATGATGAATAAATCTATTGAAACACTATTAATTTATGTTGATTCCAAAATTGATTAATATTATTAATAGATGTTAAAAATAGATTGGAATGAATTCGATAATATGGGTGATGCATCAAAATATATTAGAGATACTATTACATTCTTAGAAGCACATATTAAAATAATTAAAGATCTATTATCAGAATCATATTTAATATTTTATTTAAATAAACTTGTTGTCTATTTAAATAATAAATTTATAAATTCTGTTTTTAGAATAAAGAAAATAAGTGAAGTATAATATATTATTATTTTAGATTGGATTATCATAATTAATGTTAGATGTTTCAGAATTAAAAACTAACTTGGTGAGAATTTCTAAATTAAAATAAGAATCAAAATCATAATAATCATTTAATAATTTTGTATAAAAGACATTATCAAGAAGTGATTCTATTTTGAAGTTGATTCAAATGAGCATAGAAAAATTCATTGAAAACTTTCCAGATTATGCTAAAAAATATGAATCTGCTCCTATTGATTTAGATAAGATTCTAGGATTGAAATAATTAAGAAGATAAGATGTTCCATAATTAAATAAGTATTTTACAAAAATTAATTGATTTATTTATTATTTTAATTACAATGTTAAATAATTGTGATGAATTACATATCTTAAGGCTCCCAAAAATAGTAAATACTTTTGCAAAAGATGGTATCAATTAGTTTAAAACTAAGAATTCTTATAATTGAGTATGAAAGTTGGTAAAATTAATGAATATGGAAATAAACATACTAGATATTTTGTTTTAACCAATAAAACAATTTTGCTATTAAATAAATAAAGTAACAACGATATCATTTAAAAGCAATCAGAAGGAAAGTACTTTTGTCATTTATAATTGGAATAACAATATCTTCAAAAAGTTTTGAGTTTATTTTGCATTTCAAAAATGAATATGATGATGATGATCTCCGATTATAAACTGAGAATAGATCTAGATTAATAGAATTCATAGTCAAAACGTATGCTACGGAATTTCATATTCCTTTGGCCTCTTATTAAGTTTAAGATTTAAATTTGAAGAAATATGTAGTTTATAAATAAGATAGACATAAACACATAAGTAAATTACCTAATGTTAAAGCAAACTTTTTAAATTATAAACCAATACTAGATGAACAAGAGAATTACTTAAAAATGTAGCAAATTTATTAACAAGATACAGAATCTAAATTATTATTTGGAGATTTCTTATTGAAATTAAAAGATTATGAAATGAAAAAGATAATTTGTGAAGGTAGTATATCATAGATTGTCTAAGTGATAAATACAAAAACTCATACTTATCATATTATGAAATGTATTAATAAGGAAGATCATAAATATTTAAATTTAAATGAATTTGTTACCTTTGAAAAATATGTAATTGATCAATTAGATTTAGAATCGTCATCCATTTTTGATACCATTAGAATATTGTTTTGAGACTTTTGATAAATATTATTTTATAATGCCATAAGCTAAATGTGATTTACATAAGAAATTAGATGAATTAAAGAAATTTGATTAAAAATAATTAATATTCATAGCGCAAGAATTAGTTGTAGTATTGGGAGATTTACATAATAAATAAATAATTCATGGAGATTTGACCTTAGAAAATATATTATTAGATTAGAGTAATCATATAGCTTTATGTGATTTTGGATACTTAAGGAGAACAATCAAAAATAAAGATTCATTTTATGGTATTGCTGAATATACACCACCAGAAACAATATAAAATAAAGATTATTAATATTATAGTGATTATTGGTAATTGGGAATCATTCTTTATGAAATGGCATATGGTCATCCACCTTTTATTGATTATGACTAGAATTTAACCTTTGATTACATATTAAATTGCTAATTAGAATTTCCTATTCAAATTGATGTTGATTCTTAATTTAAAGACCTCTTATTAAAAGTAATCTTTTAATTTAAACTATTAGCTATTGTAAAAAGAACCAACTCATAGAATTGGATATTAAATGGGAATCTCTGAAATTTAAGAACATGAATATTTTTAAAATACAAATTGGAAAACAGTTTATGATAAATAATTATAACCACCAGAATTTGAAAAAAAATTAAAATTGTTTTGATTAATCTTTTCATATATATATGATTAATATTTAGAACTCAAATATATATATAATAAATCATTACAACTATAATTTTTTCTTAAACCAAGAAGGGGTTAATTTAGGAGCAATTTCAGGTTAAATCTGCAATTCCTCTTTTATGATAATCAAAGGAATTACCTTTTTGGAAATCAAAAAAATTTGGTTATTGCACATTTGGTATACAAAATCCTTATTTTCTGATTTCATTAATGTTACGGATTCATTTATTTAATTTATTCAATTGTAGGAGTACCCAACATTTTAATTATTTCAACTAATTAATCGGTAGCTGATTCTCCAGAAAAGAGTGGTTCACCTGTAAGCATCTCAACAATTACACATCCTAAATAAAAGTTTATAATACCTATAGACCAAATATCAATTGATGTTGTGTATTCTGTTGCACCAAATATTAATTCAGGAGCTCTATAATATCTCGAACAAATATAAGCAACATTTGGTTCTCCAGGTATTAATCTTTTTGCTGATCCAAAATCACAAAATTTTAAAACATGACTATTAGGATTAACCAAAATATTCTAAGGTTTAATATCACGATGACAAATACCAATTCCTATCTTTTTTCATTAAAATATACCTTATAAATAAGCTAAAGCTCTTAACATCTAATAACTGTATATTTTAAGTAATAAATTTGGAAATTGACTTTTATTAGTTTACTTAAAGTTTCAGGAATATAATCCATTACTAAATTCAAATATATATCATCTGTCTAAATTCTTATTTTTTTATTACATTTTTCTAATTATCATTTTAAGTGAAAAATGCTTATCTTAATTATACTATGCAAGGATGAGTTAATTCTTAAATTATCAGATGTTTTCTATTTTTATAGCATCTATATTAAAATACTTTCTTAATAGCAACTTTTTCATTAGTTTTTGTATCAAGAGCCTATAATTATTTAATTTGAATACCAAATAAACCATACCAAAAGTACATTACCAACAACTTAAAGAATCTAGAACTGATTCTATACTGAATTAGATTTTTAAATTGGATTATCTAGAGATCTTTCATCGGTTTAAGTTACTAATCTCTATTTCATTTTATTTATTAATCATATATAAATTCAGTTATATAATCAGATTATCATTCAAGGAACTTCATCTATTGAAGTGATTAATTATTTAATACAAATGAAATAAGAGAATTATTCGCAATTTAATTGAGATTACTTTAATTTTTTTTATATAATTTTCTTAATTCAATATTAGTCTACTGAATATCTTTCCAATAATATTAAAACTACAACTTTTTTATTGGTTTTTCAATTTCATTTTTTAAAATTTAACATTCCCAAATCTACTTCAGAAATGAGCAATTCCTTAAATTAATGTTTAAATAAGTATTTACTTTATATTCCTTTGAAAATGTTTTATGTTCTAGATCTTCAATATTGATAATATAATAATAATAAAAAATTATTAAGTTGTAAATGATTATTAAAAGAGTTAGAAATCTTATATTGATATTATTTAAAAATGATTATATTTTGTGAATAAGTATCAACAAAATGATTTATTGATTATCTTGATTGATTATAATTAAAAATGTTTAAAAATATAAGAAGTAGATTATTAAAAAGGATTAATGATTAGAATTATTGAATGAACCATAATAAAAGGAAACTTAAAAAAATAAATAAATAAATAATAATCATTCATCAAGTTCTTGCTATTTATCAATTTTGATGAAATAAGGGAAATCTCTATTTTCACTCTGTAAAGATGTGTCATAAGTACCTTTATAAATAGGTAAATCATTATATTGATTAATTTAACTGTTAATTGACACACTATGTCTACTAATAGTAACACTACTGCTTATTTGATTTTCTAACTCACTATCGCAGTTATTTTACAGAATATGATTCTAGCTTTATTGATAACTTAAATAATTAAAAGAAATACTTACTCATTTTAAATTCTGTTTGGTATTGATACACTTTAATCTGTAAATTAGTTTAAGTCTTAATTTACTTTATCTAATAATTATTTGCTGAATTATTCCCATGTTTTAAACAAGATTAAAACATTTAAATAATCATGAAGTAGATTGATATTAGGATGTATGGTTGCAGAAGGACTAATATTGGATCGAGGTAGATTTTTATTTTTTCTATAATACATCAATCTGAATTGTGATTCTTTATTAAATTTTTTTATTTAAGCAATAGACTCTTGGCTTCCTGTTTTAAAAACTTCATAATAATAACATCTTCTAAATAGTTCATACATTAAGAAGTTATATTGAATGTATCCATGAATGTCACTAACTTAAATGTTATGTATTACCTTTATAATTTAAGTTAAGAGGATAATTTACAAGCATCCCATAAATTTGAATCTTTATCTACTCCTAAAGGTTAGCCTATGTCAATTAAAAATTTGCATAGATATTTAAAATGCATAGACATACCTTGAGTATCTTAAGAATATTTACACCATGTATTCTTTATTTTATCAACATTTTCAACATAAGTTTGAATTTATGAATTTTACATCTAAAAAAATTATTCAAATTGTTCTATCAATCCTAAAACAAATAAATTTAATAGAACATAATTTGAGAGTAACATAAACAGTATGAAATATAATTGATTAGCTGCAGAACCACAATATTTTGGATCTTCTTAGCATAATGGATTATGTTACATAGTATCAGTCATTATTGTTCTCCAATCATCTCCAGAAGCACATTTAAATAATGCTAACATTGCATTTCCAAAATTTGTAAAATTAATAATATCATCCATAACTTATCCAGAATCAATTCTTCCATAAAGCTAACATCCAAAAAGTGCGAATATGACCATAGTAATGATAAGTATTGTAAAAATCTTAACTAAATAGGGCATGGCAAATACCATAACTCTTAGTAATCTTTGAATATTAATAAGACCTTAAAAGATAAGAATAATTCTTAAACTCCTAAGACTAAAACACAATCTTAACAATTGATAATATTAAATTCCAGGATGTGATTAAAAATAAAGATGAGTCCAATCAGTAATAATATCTGTAATAAAATCAATCAATCCAATAAATACTAAAAATAAATAGAATCTTCTCCAATAGTTATCAAAATATCTATTAATACCCAAAGCTAGAAATAATAAGAGTGTCCATATTAAATATATCATTGTCAATGAATAATGCATAGCATTGGCAATATTAAAATATTAATCAGTCATTTCTGAATTAAATAGTAATAAAATAATTAAATCTATTATTAAAAATCCATATACACATTATTGTACATGAATATTGTTTATAACTTTACTTGATATTTTTCTCATTCTGCTTTTTGGTGGTGTAGAATATAATGGAAAATCAGACATTAGAATATTTGTAATTTTCATAAATTCTCTTTAAACTTAAGTATATTTGCTATTTTCCATTTTAAATTAATTCTCTTTTAAACTATTAAATAATATTCCAGTAAATAAACTTAAAAAGAACATAGATCCAATAAAACAAAAGATTATCAAATATAAGTATGTATATAAATAACTATTGAATGGAATAGGTCCAGTATTTTCAGTTTAACTATTTTCAGCTACTTGTAAGATCTCTCCCCAACCATCAAATGTTGAAACAGTAAATAATGTTGGAAGTGCTACTGTTATATTATCAAAATTATGTTTATAATTGACCCATGTCTTATTATCTTATATGCAATCATTATAAGATACATAAAAAGACATTTTATCTTCACAATATCCAAATTACTTTTCATATAATATTATACCATAAACTCCAAAGATTAACCAAACTGATAAAAGTGTTATAAATACATTTAATATATCTAATAAAGCTTAACCTAATGCTGCTCTTAATTATCTTAACCAAGTTATTCTATACATTAATTTCATAGGTCGAAAATATCCCAAAAATAATAATATATTTATTATTCCATTATTACTTTGTTATTCAATTAGACTTGTTATAATATAAATTATATCAACAATCTACCATGTATTTGTTAAAAATGAACCAGCATCTAAAAATAAACCTTTTGCTATTACATTAAATGTAAAATCAGTTAAAATAATTATATTTGCAATAAATTACATTTAATCTGGAAAATCTGATGAATTTATTTCAAAATCATTATATGTCTTGATAATAAATATGATTATAGAACTATATATTACAAGATCTATTAAATACTAATAATACATTTTAATAACAAGTTTAGTAATAAAAATTCTAAATACATTTGATTTATCAAATAGATATAGAGACTATTAACATTCTATTCCTTAATAAATTGATTAATCTCTTTTTTCAATATTTTTATAATTAGATTTAATTGATACAAGTAAATGAGAGATAAGACTAAGTTTTTATCTTTTAGATTGTAATTATATAGTTTAAGCAATAGTATCATCATAAGTAATCTCATGTTATTCTGAATTAGCACTTATTTATTATGCTTATAATTATTCTTTCTCTATAATTTCTTCTTCTTAAATCCCTAAATATTTTCCAAATCCATCTAATAATATAGCTAGAACTAAACCATAAGTACAATAGTTTAATACAATTACCATAGAATAAGAATAAATAAGTGAAAATGTATAATCAATATCTCCACCCATTACATAAACACCATACCAATCATCATTTGTCATTATATTGAAAATAGTCATAAAAGATTTCAAAATATTATCAAATGAATGTAATTATCCTAAAGTCTCCAACTAATTAAATTTACCTGCATACATTTCCATTCCTATTAATGCATACATAAAAATAACCATTAACATTAATACTGTCAAATAAATATAAGATTCAAATGTTTTTGATGCTATTTATCCTATTTTATTTGCCATCTTATTATATCTCAAACATCTATAGAATAATAGACATTTTGTTCCTCGAATCAACTTCTAACTTTACAAATTAGAATTCGTTATTTAATCTCCAAGTATTAATTCTATAAAATTTAAAATTATTATTAAAAACTCAAGAATTTAATTTGGATAACATAATAAATTTCGACAAGGATAAGAGAATAATTTAAATGATTATTCTAAACATAATAAAATTGTTGTAATATCTTCTACATTTGTTATCAATACAGGATTTACTATACCTTATAATGATAAAAATGTAAAATTGAACAATATTATCAAATCAAAAAAGAATTAACTAAATCTACTACTTATTAAAATATAACAATATTTTTTAGCAGTAGTAATCTTTCCTTTTACTCCCTTCAACCAAATTTAATAATCTTAATAATTTAATTTTTCTTTTATTTCATTAAATTCATTTACCCTGAAAATATCTAAAGCTAAAACATCACTTCCAGACCAATTTTTCTTTTCAATAATTCTATTCTTTAAATCCTTTCTTCTTAATAATCCATATTTAAATTCATTTGATGTAGTATTATCAATCATAATTGGTATTTTTGCATTGATTTTTTCACAAACTGCTTCATAATCAATATATTATTCTTATATCATAACATAAATCTTTCTATTACTAAAAACAGAAAAAGGGAAACTATTTTAAGTATAATTATGTTTATTATTCTTATTTTTAATTGATATAGAAGGTTCTCTATTTATATTATGATGTTTTAATTAATTTTTTTATGTATTTTCCTCATTGGACTTCTCATTCTATGAAGATTTAATCTTTCTCCTAATAGATTTAATTGGTATTAATGTTTTTAATGAAGTCATGGTTTACTTTGGTTTGACTTTAGTTAGTGAATATACTTGTTTAAATTTAATCTGTCTACATTATTTGATTAATTAGTTTTAATCAATATTTTTTGTGTTTTTTCCTTTTTCACTTAAATGAAATATGAATTTTACATTAAAGATAGCAAAACATCTTGTTCACTATTAAATGATTGATATATATCATAATTTGGATATGGAGAGAGTTATGAGAATTGATTCTCTAATAATCTCTAAATTAATTTGGTCTCTAATGGATCATCAGTATAATTTGTCACTTTAATCATAGTTTTAAATTTATCTAAATATTTAAATCTTGGTAATAATAGATATTTAAAATTAAATTAATCTAAATATGCTTAAAATCCTTTTTAATTTCTATTCTTAAGTAATTTAATGATATAAATACTTTTTCATGATTTTTTTATCTTCCAGATAAAGTTCGTACTTTGGTTTTAATATTATCATTATTTAATTCTTCAATAGGATGAGATTAAGATTAATACAATGGATTAGTTAATTATTTTTTATAACTTAAATATGCTTTATAAATTCCAATATGTTTTAAAACAGCAACATCAAAAATAGAAATTAAATCTCTTTCTGGATTTTCTTATTTCTCTTTTAATCTTGTCATAATATTTAATTAAATTTCTTATTGAATAGTTTCTTCAGCTATTTCTGCATAATGGGTTTTGAGAACAGCGATAACTAAATTGAATCCAAAGAACCCACCAACAAAAATAATTAATAAATAATATATCCATATCCATGAATTATAAATTCTCATAGTAAAAAACATAACCCAACTCCAATCATCCATAGTAATAGTTCTTAAAATCTATCCTAATGAATAAATAATATTATTAAATGATGTAGGTAATTTTGGAGTATATTCAGAATACAAACAATTCATATTCTCTGGACATATATTTCCATTACATTATATCCATCCATCTGTTTCATCTCCATTCTCAAATTAACATCTATAATTAAATAAATTCTAAAATAAAAGTACTCCAAAAACACCAAAAAATAGTGAAAATAATCCTACTATTACTAAAGCCTCTAATAAAAACTTTAATGATGATATTAAGGCTTTCAACATTATTGATAAACCTTTTAATACATCACCTAAATAATTTAATAATGTTATCATTCGCAAAGGTGATAAATCTATTATTATTACATCAGGTCTATACAAATTCAAAGTTGTTAGTATAACTAATGTAAAATCATATATATTTAATGGACTTCTAAAAAAACTTTTACTATTCAGAATCATTCCTGATGCTATAATTCTAAAACTTACTTCAATCAAAAAGAACACTGTTATCACTTGTTCGATTTGATCTGTATCCTTTCTATTATTTGTTTTAACATATATAAATAATACTACATTGAATATTATCAAAGTTGTCATAAAAAGCTTAAAATATATAGATTTTATCAAAGCTTTTATTATTATTGGAAATAAGTAACATAATAATACTATTCTCTTTCTCATTTATAAAAATCTGTTTTTATCATGATAACGCTAATTTAAGTTTAAAACATACTAACAATTCAAATTTCAATCTCTCATATCCTCTTAAGATTTTCAATTAAACATAATATGGATCTTACAAAGGATTTCTTTGTATTTACTTTTAATATTTTTTTATAATCTTTTACAATTAGGCTTCTCCTTCATTTATATTTTATTAAACATCTATTTAAATTTAACCTTTATGTTCATCAACATCATTTTTTCTTAATCTTAAACTTTTTATACTAGATTCCTTTGAATAAGAACTATTATCTTCTTTTTTATATTTATCAACTACATGAACTGAAAGAATTGATTCTTCTGATACATTTTCACTACTTAAATAAAATGAATCATCATTTTAGTCTGATCCCCTTATTTTTATAATCTTAATATATATACTTATCATCAAAAATATTAGATGGATGTGATGTATTTTTGAATGCACATGTTTATAAAGAAAACTTTAACTTATTTGTGTCCTATAAGAAATCTGCTCTCTCCTTCTTCCCTTTTCCAACTTTTCTATAATTTCTGTCTATATACCTTGATAAATCTAGGCTAAAGATAATGAACGATTTGCTAATTCAGTTGTTAAAGTAACTCTTTTTGATGATATTTTTGAACTTGCCCTCATTTTATATTAAAAATATAAGTACTAAAAATTACAATTTCATTAACCAATCTAATTTCATATATTATATTCAAATATATAAAATCAAGTAACTCATTCAATACTACAACTTTATAAACTAATCATTCAAAAATTAATCAAATTACTTCTCTCTTTCTCCTACTATTTTTCTCACTTCTTTTAAATCATTCTCTATCATTATATCAAATTTTATTAATTCACTAATTTTTATTATTGTTTCACACACTTAATTCATTTTCTATAAACATAGTATTCATTCAGTCACAATTATTCCACAAAACATAATCACCAATTTTAACATTGTGTTTCGATGTAAATATCTACTATAATGGTATTAGTATTATTCTTAGTCTCTTTTTTTATCATTTCATTTCATCATAATATTCACAAATCTAAACTATTTTTATCATTATCATTGTAATCAAATTATTCTTTTATTCAATAGAACAATTTTCTATATTTTTACATATCTTATAGTATAACATTCTATTTGAACTACTTAAAGAATTAATTTAGATAAATGATAATTAATCCCATCAAATAATTAAAAATTGTATAATCATCTAATTAAGATTGTTTCATTCGAAAACTATCACACAATGTCTTACTCTTTTAATTTGTTTCTTAAATAGCTTCAATTTTTTATTTTATTTACTTAATTTATCAAGTAGTGGATTCATTATTAAAAAAAATAATTAACTAATATGAATGGGATTAAACATAAATCAAGAAATAATCAAATAATATCCCAAATTTTACAAAGAGAAGCCAGAATGAATAGACCGAGCAATAATCGATTGCCATCATTAAATTAATCAGTTCATACATAAAGAAATAAGATCTAGACAAATTAACCATACAAATAATTTCGGCTCACTAGATATAAAAATGAGTCCAAAATATTAGGGAATTAATTATTAGATATAAAAAAGAAATAGTTAACATCTACAACTTTACATACACTTGAAGAAACAACTATTTGAATTATTATAACTAGCATAAAATCACAATAATTTGATCTAACAATATACTCAATTCATTTATATCTGGACTTTAATTCTTTTCTCTCCATTTCATTTATGACATTTTTATCTAAAGTTTGAATATATATATAAATACCTGTAACCATATCTAAAATATCATCTAGATTAGCTAAATCATCTGGTAAAAAGGGGACTAAAGAAGCCTCAAAATTTAAATTATCACTTCTAACTTCTAACCATTTTTTATAATCATAATCCTTTTTTAATTCTAACATAATTTAAACAATTTAAACAAAAAGACTTAATAAAATAAAATAATTACGTCACATGACCTAAATCTGCCATTTTGACTACTTCAGATCTAAAAAAGTTAGGACCAAATACAACTGCCATATTATAAGCAGTCATTAAATTATGTTCTTATTCTTTAATAACTTAATTTAAAAATCCTAAAGAGAATAATAATATTTCTCTATTAAATTCTGGCATATAATCAAAAAGCATTTAAACACTTACTTCTAAATTTTATTCAATTTATGGTTTATTTTAAACAACCCAATCATATAATTAATAAGTCATAAGAGGTTCTTTTAATTTTAAGAAAAATTGTTTAAAAACACATGCAATAGTATGAGAATTTTCAACTTTATTAACAAATCCTACTTTTTAACAAGCCAAAGCTGCTTCAACTATTTTTTCTTCATAAACAGCAGCTTATTTTCTAAATATTCCTTCAGTTTTAAGTTTTTCAGGTTATTTCTCAAAATATTAAACAAGCATATCTAAAATAACAGGTATTCCATATTTATTTTATTCATATTCATGTAAATTTAATCCTAGAATTTTAGAATCTTTATCAAAATTATCATCAGAATCAATATCATCATCTCCTACAGCCTATTATGTTTATTATTTTCTAAAAACAGTTTTTTTTCTTTAATTTTCAATATCTTTATAAGATTAATCATATGCTTTAACACTTTCTGGTAAAACAGATAACATTTTGTATCTAAACCATTATTCTTTAGAAAGTATTAAAAGTCTAAATATAAAAGTATAATGTATTACGTATCAGCAAAAGTAGTGATTTTCTTAAAAAAAGATTTGATTTCATTCATTCCAAAAATACCTCCACCTTTGACAATAAAATTTGCATGAAGAACAATAAATTTTTTCATATGAAAAAAGTATTTTTCAGGAAGTGTTCCATAAAAGTCTTTAAAATCATTAAGTGTAGAAGCAGTCATCATATTTGTATTGAAAAAGATGATAATGAAAAATCTGTCAATTCTTGGATTCATAGTTTCAATGACATCAATTTTAAAAGATTCATAATCTTATTTTTTACTTGGATCTGGTATATGTTCTCCATAAATAAAATAAACTTATACATCGTCATTTTCATTACCTATATAATATAATGTGTTAAATTGATACTAACTAATTTAATAGCTGGTTTTTTAGTATATGCATCAGTTTTCTTAAAGTAATGAGCTACTTATAGTTAAATTTCATAATTCTTTTAGTTTTACTACATTTAATCCTTGAGTGGATTGATTTTAATTTTTTGTTTGAGATAAGCTTCAGCATCATTAATTGATTAATCCATAAAATATATATAGTGTTTTAATGAATAGAATTGTGTTTATAATTATAATAAATAAGAAAATAACATGAAAACATATGAAATATTAATAACAGTAGGGAATAGTTTATCATTATGCGGAGCATGTGTAATATTTTTCTTATTTTTTCATTTTGAGAAATTACGTCAAGGTTTTTTCTCTCATATAATAATTTATATAACTATAGGATCATTGATTCAAATTATAGGTATACAATTATCAGCAAGTTTTGGATTATCAATATGTAAATTATCTGTATGTATATTGATTTATGGTTCATTGATAATGATATTTTGGAGTACAATAATGATTTGGGCATTAAAGTAGAGTTCGCAATCTATACTAGAAAATTATTTAATGTATATTCTGATAAAGGAACTCTATAATAATTAGAAAACATGCATGAATAATTCAGAAAAAATGAATTGAAACTATTACTATGTTCATTTGGGATTCCAATTATTTTAGCTATTTGGCCAGTAGTTTTAGATGGAGCAACATCAAAATAATCTACAAATAACTTTTGTTATCTATATACTAATTCTAGTTAATCTAAAACTGTAAAGATTCAAGTAGATATTTCCAAATTAATATCATGGGAAATTCCTATCTTATTCTACTTAATATATAGCTTAACAGTCCTTTATAATATAAAGAAATTGTAAACTATTCCATAAATTAATGAATTCTAGTTATAAACAAAATAATGATGAAATTATTTTTGTTGAAGTTAAAAAAATAGTTAAAAGGTTGTTATCATATCCAATTATTACAATCTTAAGTACTATTCTATTTACTATTATGGATATAGAGACATTTTTTAATGTGAATGTAAAATTAATCTAATAATAAGATAGGAAGCATTTAAAGTACAATAAGTTGGACCATGTTATCATTATGGGAATTCTTTAACTTTTTTGCTTATATCTCCTAGAGTAGTGTCTAAGAAGAACTTTTTAGAAGAAATTCTAAAGAATAAGAATGTATTTGTTTTAAACAACATTAGTTTAGTAAATCCATTAATTCAATAATAAGATCCTGAAGAAAGTATCAATGAAAGAGATTATTTTTATTAAATAAAGTCTAACTTAGAAGGTTCTGAATAATAAATTAATTATTGATTATAATAATAATATTAAAATGAGTGTTAGAAGAGTATAATCAGCAGTAGCTTCTAGTAAATAGACAACAGCAGTGATTCCTCTTTCAGAATTGAAGAGAATGCAAGACCACATTACTGTTTATCATTAAGATACTCCAGAAAAATTTGAATTGTATTAATAACTGTTCATTAAAGGCATAAGTTATCATAAGATCGTGTAAAGAATTGGAATAATACACTTAAATAGAATAAGGTTTAAAAGGATAAAACTAAGTATTTTATTTCTTTATCTTATTTTAGATTTGAACGTTTCAAACAAGATGAAGAAGAAAGGAGAAAAATTGATGAAGATGAACGTCGATATTAAGCACTTGTTAAATAATAAATTTTAGAAAAAGCTAATAAATAAATTTATGAAAATAATGAACGTATTAGATAGTTTTAATCTAAAATGCTTGTTGTTGATGCATTATAAGAAAGAGAAGGATAAAAATAAATTAAAGAAATGTAGAAATTATTAGAAAAAGAAAGAGAAAAACTTTAATATGAATAAATGTTAGAAATTCAAGCTGAAAAAGATTTATAAGAAAAAAAAAAATTATAAGAATTATAAGATAAAAAAAAATAATAACATGATATGCTTAAAAAGTAACATGATATTATGAGAGTAATATATACTATTATATTATTAGGATAAATTTATTAAATAAGTATAAGAAGAAAAAATTGAAGGTGAATTAATGAAAGCGAAAGTTTAAGCAGATTTAGAAGAAGAATAAAGAATTGCTAAATAAAAAAAAGATAAAATTATGGAAAATTAATAATTATTAATCTAAGGTAATGAAATTGTCAAAAAATAAAGAGAAATTGAAAAATTAAAAATTTTAGAAGAAGAAAAAAAAATTGAAGAACATGCTAAAAAAAAGGAAAGAGTTTTAGAAATTAGAAAAATTAGAGATGAATAAAGAAAAGCAGAAAAATAAGCATAAAGATAAAAATTAATTGATGCTTAAACTGAAAAATTAAAAAAATAAAAAGAAGAATAAGATAAATTATTAAATAAAAATATTAAAGAAGCTGAAATTAAAGCAGAAGAAGTAGAATAAATTAAAAAAGAGTAAAGACGTAAATTATAAAGTGCAATAAGTTATAGTCATAAAGTTAAAATGGAAGTTAAATAATAATAAGAAGAAGAAGAAAAAAGATTGAATTAAGAATTCTAATAATATTGGATTCTTAGAAACAAAGAATTACATGAATAAGAATTAAGAGAAAAAATGGAAATAAGAAAAAAAAATTAAGAATTAAAAGATTTTCATAATTAATAAGCTAATGAAAGAACTGAAAAAAGAACTAAAGATATTATTAAAGATTTTGATGAGAGAGATAAATGTTTAGCAAGATTAGATAATTAAGATAAAGAATTTGATGAATGGGCAGCTTAAATTGTTAAGAGATATGAATCTGAAGGAAAAAATACTGACATTTTGATGAAGGAACTCAAATAATTCAAATATAAATGATAAATTTGACTAAATGTATCAATTTTTAATATTAATATTATCTTATTTTAAATATAATTCTATTAATTTATTCCATCCTTTTGAAAAATATAATATTTCTATTAAAAATAATTTTATCATTAATAAATATTTTTTTGTCTTTCGAATTCATATTTAAAAATAAAACTTATAATTTTTTTAAAAATCATATACTAAATTCAATCAAAATCTTTATCTTAGGAAAATATTAATAAATCAAGCTTATATTAATGTTTTTATTAATTAAAAATTAATAGATCAATGTTAAATAAATCACATCATAATCCATTAATTTTGAATTAAATTTTTTTTTCAATATAATTGAATAATTTTCTTTTTTTCTTGAAAACTTAATAATAATGATATTTATGTCAAAAATATACGTAAGCATTTGTATATACTTATGAATCCTAAAATGAAATCAATATAAATTTTAATTTAGAAAATTATATTCAAAATGCATCGAAAAAAATTATATAAAATTTCTATGCTAATTAATTTATTTTAAAACTTAATAATTTTTTACTATTAATTTATTATGAATATTGAAGATCTAGAACATATAACATTCTTGAAGTAATATTAAGGAAATAATTAGTTAAACATCGATTTATGGAACTGCTAATTTCAGAAGTAAAATTGGGAATGATAAATTTGAAAAAATGAAATTGAAAAAACAATTGAAAAGTTAAAGTTTTAATACTTGTGGAAGTGGTACACCCAAAGCAAGAAAAGCTAAAAAAACTAAAACAAATATAATCTTAAGGAATGAAGAAAATATATTTGGAAGCAAATTTGATTATGATAATTTGTCAAAAAAGGATATTTCATCAGCTAAAATGACTTTTGGTGCTAAGTCTGAAAAAATTAAATAAGATAGCACTTAATATGTATATTAATGTTCTAACTTCAGATTATTTAATAAATTAATGAAAAAGTTTAGAAACAAAAATACAAATTTGCTTAAGAAAATATGAAATGTAGAACTGAAAAGACTATTAATAATAGTGATAATTTATTCTATAAAATGAACAAAAAATATCAAAAAATTAAAGAACAAACTGAATCAATTTATTTAGTTGATTTATATAAAATATATGGATATCAGAGATTGATATATGAAATGAATGTAATTTTTTATTTAAATAGATCTATCAAGATAATTATAGTTTCTTGAAACTTAGAAAAATCATAGTCAAATTAATCTATGGAATACTAATCATTATAAATTACATGTAAAGAACCATTTTTTACAAAATTTTTATGTCAATCGTTATATTGGTTAATTTAATCATTTTTGTATCTTAAATCATAGAAGATGATACGTTTGTTGTTTATGAAATAAGTATTATGAATTATTTAAATTAGTGGTAATTTACATATACATTTGTGATTAAATCTTAAGAATACTTTCTAAAGGAATTATTGGACATAAACATGCCTATTTTAGAGTTGTTAAAAATTGGTTTGACTTAATTTTAACTATCTTATAAATTAATACTACCTTACTCCATAATATTGTATAAGTAAATTTCTCTCCATTAAGATTAATTACGTTACTTTTATATTTGGGTGATTTTGTGCCAGGTATTTATTTATTTAAAAATTAGGTTTGAAAATAATGTTAAAATCTCTTGGAAAATCATTAAAATATTTATTTGAAGCTTTCATCATAGTAATAATATTTTGTTTATTTTTTGCCACCTTTGGCTAAAGTCTTTTTCATGGTTTAATAAATTATCGATGTTTACCAAAATATTATGATTCTCTTGATTCATAACCATGGATATCATGTAAAATTACTTCATGTCCTGATGATTTAATTTGTCAATATGTTTCTTAAGGACCTAATATTCCAACATCATTTAATAATATTTTATCATCTTATGCTTAAGTTTTAAGAACTATTACAATGGATGATTGGACTTGGATTATGTATGTTACACTTAAAAGTTATGGAACATATATTTGGGTTTATTATCTATTAATTATTTTTTTTGGAGGTTTCTTTGGATTTAATTTAGTTATAGCTGTTTTAAAAATTCATTATAGTTAATAAACAAATTTAAAATTAAATCAAATCGAAGAAGATGATCAACATTAAAAAGAATAAAAATTAAATTTACAAAATCTTAAATAATTTGGATTATATCATCCTATTTATTAATACAAAATGTATTTAAAAGGAGATCATCAATTATTAAATAAGAGTTTTTGTTCAATAGCATCAAACATTTCAGATTAACCTCGTATTCTATCTGGAAAGCATTATTCTAAATATGAAAATAGATTTTAATTCTTGAAACAATTCTCATTAAAGACTTTATTGCTTCCTAAATTTTTAGATATTAGAAAATATTAAAATTTGCTTCAAGATTTATATGATAATTTATTGGAGAAGCCTGATATAAATATGTAATGTTTGACTCATAATGAATTTACAAGATATTGGGCAAATGCAAAAAATGTATCATATATCTCTAAAAGTACAACAGATGTAATACTATTTAAATCTGAAAAAATGCTTATATAAAAAAGAATCTTAGAGTTTAGATTCAAAACTAAACCTAAAAGTAAACTTACAAATAAAAAAGAACTTAAATTATTTCCTATTTTTAAAAGCTAAAGATTGAAAGATAAAATAGAATCATTTGCTTCAAGTGGTATTACACTTATGGATATCTAACATCATTATTCGAAAGCCACTTCTTAAATATAAACTATGTCCATTCATCCAAATAATAATAATAATTTAATTATTTCATCTCAAATAAAAAGAAATACTAATGCCTTCATTTTACATAAAGAAAAAGAAATTTATATTAAAATTTATGGATTCTATCATAACTATAAAGCTGTATCAGAGCTGATTAATAAAAAGATATAAATTAGAATTGATGATCAAATTAAAGATTATGAAGAAAAATATCTTTAAATAAGAATGTCAGAAATTTAGTCAGGTATCATAGAATCAAAAAACTGTTCCATTTCATCTGTTATTAATAATTATGAACATAAAAATATTATAAAACATTCATTAAATCATGTTGATTATTTAATTTGGTTAGTAGGAATAAGTGGTAAAATTATCATTATTAGGAAAATTACTTTTATAATCATTACTCATAAATTTACCAACTTTTTTGTAGTTTGTGTAATATTAGTAAACTTTTTATGTTTAAGCTTAATTGGTATTATTTCTAATGAATTTCTATCAGTTATAGAAGATTTTACAACAATTATTGTTTCACTTGAATTAATCTTAAAATTAATATCTTTTTAAACATGTAATAATTGTTTTTATCTTTATTTTAGCAAAATTAATTTAAAAAGAGTAAATAATTTTAGAATCATTTATCATTGTTATCAATTTTAGTGAAATGACATTCAGATCAATTTTAAATGAGGAAGATATAATATATAGATTAATAAGAGGAACTAAAATTCTTTTATTTCATAGATGTTTAAAATATATTAGAATGGCAGCATTAATAGGATTGATAGCAAAAAGAACATTTAAATAATATATCTATTTGACATTTTTAATGTTTTTAATGATTCTAATATATGCTTTACTTGGTATGGCAGTTTATGCTAGTAATTTCGATGAAACTACATTGATTGGATAATTACATCCATACAGTGATCCATTAAAATCATGGATGACTGTATTTAACATAATGACAAATAATTGGTATTGTATACTAAGAGTTGGAAGTTAGATAAATAAAATATTTGCATTTATCTATTCATTTTCTATGATTCACTTTTTAAATTATATTACATATGGTTTGGTAATGGCAATATTATTGGATGGTTTTGGAGAATATTTAGTAGAAATTAAAAAAGATTAATATATTAAATTTAAAGACGAATAGTAATCAGATTCAGATGATGAAGATAAAGATAAAGATAAAGAAAAAGGGAAAGGTACTAAATCATTTAAGTAATTATCTTAAAATCAATAAATTTAAAAGGATACTTAATATTGGTATCTTTTAGAATCAATATGTAAATTATTTCAATATTTTAATAGAATAATTAGTAAAATAGATAAAAACAAAAAAGAGAAAAATATATTTGGGAATAAAGTGTAAGGAATCTTTATTTTGTTTTGACAAATACAATAAATAAAGAATTTTCTGTGTAAAAACAATCAGATCAGAAATGTTTTATTGGAGTAGATTAACATTGAATATAGGATTCATTATTTTGATTGCAATATAAACATATCAAGTTGAATATATTGTTATTATTGACTCTTTGATTTTTATAACAAATCTTATGATAACAATATAGACAATTATTCTGATAATAGCTTTGGGTTTATTTCATGAAAAAGGAACTTATATTTAAGTAAGCTTAATCCTTAATTTAGCACATTTGGTAAATTACAGACATAATCTATTTAGTATGTTACTATCTATAATTGATAAATACAGAAAGTAGAATCCTACATTTATTTTTGTATTTAAAATATTTAAGACCATTTAAACTATTATATTCATTTAAACCAATTGTAAAACTATACAATTCTTTGGTGGCAGCTTTACATAATATGATTAATGTGTTGATAACTTTATTAATTATTTGGACTATGTTTGCAGTTTATGGTATGATTTTATATTAGAATAAATTTGGTTTTTGTGATGATTTGATGTAGTTTGATATTAATAAATAATAATGTGAAGACGAAGGAAGAAGATGGATAACATATTAACATAATTTTGACAATATCACTGTTGCTTTACCAACATTATTTATAATATCAACATTTGATGGTTGGGGAGAAATTTTATAAGTAGCTAAAAATTCAAGACTTCCACATTAAGGTCCAGCTCCATTTGCAAATTAATTGCCTACATATATATTTCTCACATTATTCTGTTTCATAGGTTCCATGTTTTTCTTAAGTTTATTTACTGGTCTATTATTCCTAAATTTAAAAGCAAGTTAATAGAAAATAGAATATGATGATCTAACAGTCTATCAATAAGAGTTTATTTAAATTTCACAGAAAATTTTAATGGATTCTCCTTCATTTTCATAGCCTCCTAGAAATATTATTAGAAAGATTGCCTAAAAATTAAATAAAAATTAGTACTTTTAATATATATCTTTTCTTATATTAATAGTTGATACAATCATCTAAATGTCATTTTATTAAGATATGGATATTGAAATCGCTTTGGAATTGAATCTATACTATGAAATCATATCGATTCTATTCACTTTTTGGGTTTTAATTTAATTATTAGATTATGGATTTAAGAGATTTATTGATGATTAATGGAGAAAGTTCTATTCATTAATAGTAATAATTTCAATTTTTGAATTAATTGCTACAAAAAATTACAATTTATTTTAAATTCAGATTACATCTACTATGTTTACTGAAAATTATTAAATAATTAGACTATTGTTTGCTTTAAGAAATCTTAGAATTCTAATATTATTTAAGGGATTTGAAGATCTTTAGAGATTAATTAGAATTATGATTTTTTCATTTCCTTTTTTGGGAAAGATTTTATTCATTCTTGTAGTAACAACTTTATCCTATGCTTTACTTGGATGTTAATTATTTGGACATATAGATAAAGGGATTATTATTGATTCTTAAATTAATTTTTCAACCTTCACAAGTTCGCTTCTAACATTATTAAAGTGCATAACTCATGATAATTTTCGAAGTATAATGTCTGACACAATGATTCATAACATATATTGTTATGATGATCCAAAATATTGTGGATCTTAATTTGCATAAATTTATTTTATTTCTTTTGTTTTCATTTCCAATTATGTCTTATTAAATTTATTTGTCTTAGGATTAATTGAACAATTTGAAAAATTCTTTTAATCTGAGAATTCAATACTATAAGTATATATTGAATCAATTGATAAAATAAAAACTGTTTGGTGTAAATATTCTTATTAAAAACACGGTAAAGCAATGCATTATTTATAAATTTGTAAGTTTTTGTTAGAGATTGGTTAACCATTTACACACGTTAAAGATAATATTTGGGATGCAGCACGGTTAGCTGGTTATTTAAAGATTAGAACTGATGACCAAGGCTATATCTAATTTAATTCATTAATTTATGAAATTTTTAGAAGAACTTTCAAATAATAGGTTTTTAAATTAGGTTCCGAAGATTCAATAAAAATCATTAAAAAGTTTAATAAAGAAATGCAAATGAGATTATTTTATTTTAGAAGAGACAAATTCTAGAAAAGATCTTTTATTGCAACTTATGTTGAATTTAAAAGCAATTTTAGTATAGCTAGCGATTATTTATCAATTTTGGTTATTTTTAAAGCATGGTAAAATTATTCTAAATAATTAATCAAAAAATCTAAACTAGAATAGGAAGATTTTTCAGATAATTCTTCATTTGGATAAGAAGTATAGTAAATAATTTATTTTATTATATTAGAGATATAGATATATTCTCAAGAGTTGATGAAGAAGAAGAATAAAGTAAAGAAAATCTTACTAGAAAAATACCTTCAAATCCTATTAAATCTAATTAATGTTTAACATTTGAAAGTGATCTAAATCTAAATATAAAGTAATTAGATTTGCCTATTTACAATGAAAATGAACGCTATTTTGCTCCAAAACGAGATGTTACTAAAATGAAATCAAATATACTTTAATAATTACAGAAAAGAACAATAATTAAACCTAAAAAAGATTCAAACACTCCTTCTTCTATAATGAAATAATCTTCAAAGCTTATAAGATATCCAGTAGACATAATATTTAATTAACAATATGTTCATAAAAATTAAGACAATCTTAATTAAAGTGCGAATAATTCTTTTAGATCATTTATATCAAATAGTTAACCTTCTTTATCTTCAATAGATGGAATTCCTGGAATGATAATCTGATTATATTTATTGTATTTATATATGATTAATAAATATTAAATTAAATAACTGTTAATTTTTTAAATATATTTCAACATTTTATAAAATTATTGTTCTATTTATATGATTAGATATTAGTATTACTTAGTATTTTTTAAAATGATATAATATAGACATGTTTTGAGCTAATTAATGAGTTAGCCTTTAAAAATTAAGGATTTATTTGTAATGGAAATAAGATATATATTTTAAAGAAAAGATGGAGTGGTTTAGGGAAGGAAATGAAATTTGTGTTGTTTGTAATTTATATATTTTTGTGATAAAAATCACTAAGATTATCATGCTTCACCTTCTTCTTCGAATTCTCCTTCTTCTTCAGCAGTAGCATCTTAATATTATTGATATTCAGAGACTAAGTCATTCATATTGGATTCTGCTTCAGTGAATTCCATTTCGTCCATACCTTCACCAGTGTACCAATGTAAGAAGGCCTTTCTTCTAAACATAGCAGTGAATTATTCAGCAACTCTCTTGAACATTTCTTAGATAGCAGTTGAGTTTCCAACAAATGTAACTGCCATCTTCAAACCTTTTGGTGGGATATCACAAATGGATGATTTAATGTTATTGGGGATCCATTCAACAAAGTATGATGAGTTCTTATTTTAAACATTAAGCATTTATTCATCAACTTCCTTGGTTGACATTCTTCCTCTGAAGAGTGCAGATGCTGTTAAATATCTTCCATGTCTTGGATCAGCAGCACACATCATATTCTTAGCATCAAACATTTATTATGTTAATTCAGGGACTGTAAGAGCTCTATATTATTGAGATCCTCTAGATGTGAGGGGAGCAAATCCAATCATGAAAAAGTGAAGTCTTGGGAATGGAATCAAATTGACAGCCAATTTTCTTAAATCAGAGTTTAATTAACCTGGGAATCTAAGACAACATGTAACACCTGACATAGCAGCTGATACTAAGTGATTCAAATCACCATAAGTTGGTGTTGTCAATTTCAATGTTCTGAAACAAATATCATATAAAGCTTCATTATCAATAACCATGCATTCATCAGCATTTTCAACTAATTAATGTACTGATAATGTGGCATTGTATGGTTCAACGACTGTGTCAGACACTTTTGGTGATGGTACAACTGAGAATGTTTCCATAATTCTGTCTGGATATTCTTCTCTTACTTTTGAGATCAATAATGTTCCCATTCCTGATCCTGTACCACCTCCTAATGAATGTGTAATTTAGAATCCTTATAAACAATCACATCCTTCAGCTTCCTTTCTAACTACATCCAAAACTGAATCAATCAATTCAGCACCTTCAGTATAATGACCCTTTGCCCAATTGTTACCTGCTCCTGTTTAACCAAATACGAAGTTATCTGGTCTAAATAATTGTCCAAATGGTCCTGCTCTAACTGAGTCCATTGTGCCTATTAAATTGATAACTTAAATTCAATACCTGGTTCTAAATCCATAAGAATAGCTCTTGGAACATATCTACCACCTGTAGCTTCATTGTAGTATACGTTGATTCTTTCTAATTAAAGATCTGAGTCTCCATGATATGTTCCTGTTGGATCAATACCATGTTCATCTGAAATGACTTCCCAGAATTTGGCACCAATTTAATTACCACATTATCCTCCTTAAATATGAACTATTTCTCTCATTGTTATGTTTGTGAAAAAGAATTTTGTTTTTTTAATGTTTGAATTTTGAATTTCCACGCAGCTTAAAATGTCACCTCGAAATATCTTTTTTTTGTTTATTTACCTACCCCTTTATTTTTTTTATAAAAGAAAATCGTATATAAATTTAATCAAAATTAATTATTGATCAAAAATTTTTATATGAAACAGAAAATATAAAATAATTAATGACGAAAGTTGTCAATTACAAAGTTAATGGTTCTGGAAGAGATACATATATAAATTATGGAAATGGTGGTTTTTATAAATCAGACACATTACACACTGATGAGTCTTTCTATTAGTTGACTAAGCAAAACTCATTGCCTATAATTAATAGCAAATTTAATCTTTATCATACAGATGGAACAGGTCGAGATTCATATATTAGGTATGGGAAATGCATAAAAAAAGCGAAACTCAGGGTGGTTTTTATAGCTATCAACCAAGGATAAATTTTTTAGGGAGATTAAGAAAGTATGACCCATCACCTGAAGCGATTAGAGCGAATGATTTTTTAAGAAAAAGCTAAATGGTGAAACCAGCAAAGGAGTAGGAGCGTTAACTAAAGTAGAAATGTTAGAGTATTTTAGATAGAGCGCAGTGGTGGAACAAGTAACTTAGAGACTACAATTACCGAAAATCAAAAGGGAATGATTTATTATAATATATATATTTTAAAATGTCAGATAGCTCGTCTGATGAAGACTATCGAAAGATGAATAGGAAAGCGAAGAAGTCTTAGGTGCGTACTAATGTTTAAGATCCAGAATCCACAAGATTTGCATAGGAATTCGCATAGAGATTGTTAAAAGAGAGAGGATGTACATAGTGTGTATGCTAAGGGAAGTTGACATTACAGAGGAGGAGATGGGATTCAAAAAACAAGCAACAAAACAAGTGAAGACCACTACATATGTGCATAGTATAGATTAGGCAACATTTAAGGAATTATAAAAGGAATTCAATAAATGTGAAAACATTGGATAGATTTGTACAATCTTAAAAGCATTGAGTAATCATAAGGAGGCAACACCTTAATAATAATTACAATACAAAATATAGAGAAGTGATTTCTTAATAAAGAATAGGATGTATGAGGAAACAAAAACAGAATGTTTTGAATTGTTGGAAAAAGAATTGGGAGTATTGGAAAAAGTTAAGGTGTTATTATCATTATGCAAGGCATAATTAGAAACTAATGAAACATATAATGGATGCATGTAAGCTTTAAGATTAAAAAGCTATGCTGAAACAGTTAAACTAATGCCATCATTTAATTTGGGTATTTATGATCTCACTCCAGAATAAATATATAAATAGATAGATGATATCTATTAAAATACTATATTTAAGATTTAGAGAGATAATAAAAAGGTTATATCTCTTCTTGGCGTTTAAGGAAATAGTGCAACAGGTTGTTTAGGTTAAGGAGATTTAAGTTAATGTAGTGAGTTAACTTAATATTAAATATTTAAGAATAGGAAAATAATATCAATAGGATGTGGAGAACATCATGTTATCGTTTTGATAAGTGGATGTTCATGTATAAATCCTCATTATGTAAATCAATGTAAAGGTGATAAATGTAATAATGGAAATGAAGTATTTGGATGGGGAGAAAATTTCTTAGGTTAAGTTACTATGAATGAATAGGATGGTAATTTTATAAGTGTACCACATAATATTAATTAATTAAGTAATAAAAACATTATTGGAGTATAAGCTTATAAATGTACTTCATTGGCTTGGGATTCAGAGGGTCATATTTATTAGTGGGGAACTAAACATAGTTTTAAAATTGATAAAATGACTGATATTTAATAAATAGTATTAGGATTTAAATTTGGAGCAATACTTGCTAAAAAATCATTATTTATAATGGGTGAATTAGATGAAAATATAAAATATTCTAAATTAACTAAATTAGGTGATAATATTGATTAGATTGCATGTGGAGATAATCATTTGATTTCATTAAATTCAGAAGGTGAAGTTTGGGGAATTGGATAAAATAACTTTCATTAATTAGGAGTGTAGAATCATTAATAATATTCAAAGATACAAGAGGAAGAATGTTTCTATATTAATGCTAATGAAAATGCAAGTATCTTTGTTACTTCAGATGGAGAAGTCTTATATTGTGGTTAAGTAAGTAAAGAAAAAGTTATCGATTATCCAAAAACATTATAAATTGATGAAGATGTACAAATAATTTAAGCTTGTACTTATGATGGTGTCATCTATGCTTTAAATTTATAAGGAAAAATATTTAAATGGGACATTGATAAAGAACCTAAATCTAAGTTATTCTTTTCTGCTCCTGTAAGATAACTTCATCTTTGTAGAGGAATCAGATTATGTGAAACTACATCATTATAAGGTGAATGGTGTAGATTAGAATTAGAAGATTAAGATTAAGAATAAGAATACGATTAATTTGAAACATTTACAGATATCAATCTTATTGTTAATCTTGGAGATAAATATGGACCTTATGGAATTAAATAAACTCATCCTATTAGATATAATATATATATCTCAGATGATACTGATATTACACCTGAATAATTATTACATAAATGTTAAGTTGTCTCAATGAGCAAAATTTAATCTTAATAAGAAAATAAAATTTATCTTAATTTCATGAATGATGGTTATAAAGCTGAAATTAAGGAAATAGAAGAACCCTCTAAACACAAACTTATTATATAAATTAATAAACCAGGTAATTATTAAGTTTACTTATATCTTAATGAATAATTACTTATTGATTGTCCATTGAATCTTAATCTTATTGCTGGAAGTAGATAAGATGAATTGATGTAAGCAGAAGAATTAAAAAAATAACAACAATAAGCAGAATTATAAAGAAAATAAGCATTACTCTTAAAAAAGTAATAAGAAGATGAAGAGAGGCAAAGATTACTCAATGAATAATAATAAGAATTATTGATGAAATAGTAAGAAACAAGTAATCTTATTTCTTTATTATTTAGAAAAAAGAGCTGATGAAAAATTGTAATAATACTAGTTAAAAATGTAAGAAGAAAAAAGAGTCAAAGATGAAGAAAGACAATTAAAGAAAGATTTATTAACTGGAGGAGGTTTTGATCTTAATAAGGCTAAATAATAATAAGTTATCTTATAACAATAACAGGAGTCAAATCAAAGTAATAATAATCCACCTAAAAAAATTATTAAATAAGTTAATACTGTTCTCACATAAAAAGTTAAATAGTAAATGCAAAATTTATAATAAGAAAGATAATAATTATAATCATTAAACAATCAATAATAATAATAATAAAAATAATAGACTAAACCTTAATCTTAACCTCCAAAATTGAATCCTGTCAAAGCCACCCCAAAAGTACTTTAAAGTATCTAGTCTACTAAAACCACTGATAAAGCGTTTTCAACTCAGGAGACATTTAAAGAATTATAATAGACGGGACAATTCAGAAAAACTGATACTTAATTGTAAAAGATACAATAAGAGTTCTAATAAGAATTTTAATAGTTGAAAAGATAAGAAACAAATAAATATAAAAGATGATTAAATTATATATATAATTATATAAAATGAAATATCAAGTTGATAATAAAAGTACGGAATTAAGAACTGAACATTGTTAAACTACTAAACAAGTTCTCATATCTCTTAATGACTTACCTCTTATTAGTCAAACAGATATTTCATATCCTAAAGTACCTCAAAGTAGAAATATACAAAAATTACAATGTATTAATTGTTCAAAAGTATCTAACACTAAATTAAAATATAAAAATGGGAAAGGTACATATATGCTTATACTGTTGTTTATTGTATTTATTATTACAATTCCTTTGGCCATAATAGTTTACTTTCTTAAAATGTTCAAAGATGTGCAACATTATTGTTCAGAGTGTGGGGCTCTAATAGGAACAAAGCATTTTTTGATTGGATGAATTATGTATCAGTATTTTAAAAAATTAATCATGCTTCAAACAAGCTTTAATAATCATATAAAAATAAATTTACTTAAGGTAAGAACTATTAGATATTTTAATCATTAAATTAAAAAAAAGAAGTAAAAAAATCATTTTTGAATGTATTCAAAAATTACAATCAAATACTTATTTTGGTAGTGATGGTTATCTCTTTTTTTTACATTAAAATTAATTATTGCCTATTGATCCTTATTTAATTTAATGAACACTTTTAACACTACTAGGTCTAATATTTTTTTATTAGTTATGACTACTAGGTCTTTAACTATTTGATCTTACACTTCGTTAACTTGCTAATAAAATCTAATAAATTTTTAATTACTTGTATATTATCTTATACGTATTTAAGGTGGCAATTTGCTTTAATATAATAGTAATTTATCTTAATCTTCATAAACTAATAGATTTTTTTCAAAAGTTCCAAATTTTGGTTACTCTCCTTTCTTACACTAAAAATTAAAAAAATAAATGAAATAAATTACATATTAACCTTCTCCCCATTAATATCCTTATTCCCACATACCAATATAATATGATCCATCATTCCAATACATACTTCCAAATCCATGTCTAAGATCATCATAAAAATTTCCTTCATATTTACTACCTTTTGACCATTTGTATACTCCATAACCACATTTTTTATCATTTACAAATTCACCTTCATAAGTATCAGTTAACATAGCATTTCTATCTTTGATCCATAATCCTTTTCCATGTCTTAATCCATTTGAAAATGTTCCATTATAATAACTACCAGAATTCCATTAATATTCTCCTACTCCTTCAGGTTTACCATTTACATATTATCCTTTATAAACATCTCCATTTGTTAAATATTCTATCCCTTCACCATGTTTTAAACTATTATGAAATTCTCCTTCATATCTATCTCCATTAACCCAAACATGAACTCCATAACCATCTGGATTTCCCATTCTCCATTCTCCAACATAAGAATCTCCTTTAATACCATTCCATATACCCTAACCATGTTTTAATCCATTTAACCATCCACCTTCATATACTTCTCCATTTGTCCATTAAAATTTACCTATTCCATCAGGTTTACCATTTATATATGTTCCATCATAAATTCCTCCATCAGGAAATCTCTCATATCCTTATCCATGTTTTCTATCATTTTCAAATTATCCTTCATAGGTTCTTCCATTATTACTTAATATTACTCCTAATCCATTCTTTTTACCATTTATCAATTGACCAAAGTAATATGAATCTTTATAAATTTTAAGTTTGCAATTCTCAAATTTTAAAAGTCTTTCATGCTTAAACTTCTTATTATGAGAATTATATATCCGAAATTTTTCAATTATTTCTTCAGCTTCTTATTAAGTAAACTTTATAGGTGGTCTATAGTTCAAATTTGATTGTTTACGGATTTTCAATTTACTGCACAACTTAGATTTCACTATTTTTAGTTTTCAAAATAGAAATTTCAGAAAACTCTTTGCTATTCTCTTCTGTGTATTACATAGTAATTAAAATATTTGAATGGCGTAATGAAAAAATGAAAAAAACAAACATAAGAATATATATATTATCATATTCTTCTACTAATCCTTGATGGTTTTAGATCTGTAATATAAATTTGCTATTTTTAAACTCCTGTATAATCATTCAAACTAGTTACAGAATCGAGATTTTGTTTATCTATAGTTTAATTCATAATGCATTTTGATCTAAATGTCATAGAATTTCCTACAAAATCTGTTGCTAAAACTGGAGGTAAATCAGCAAAGAATGGATGTTAAAGTGCTTAATAAGCAGTAATTCTCTCTTCAGGATCTTTGGCTAATAATGATTTTAACAAAGACTTTTAAATTATCATATAATTTACAATGCAATTTTTAGAATAATTATATTATTGTACAATAGTCCAATCTATTTAACATTTTTTATTATTTGCTAAAACTTAATCAGATGTTTATCCTTAAAAACAACTAATACCTTTTGATAGTCTAAATAAATAATAAATGAATACAATTTAAAAAAGACAACACCTAGACTAAAAATATCACAAAGAGATGTCCAAGCTTTTTATTAATCTTTTTTCATATTAACAATTTCAGGTGCCATATAACCAGGTGTTCCACATCTATTATATTATAATTAATTTTTAATGCTCAAACCAAAATCAATAATTTTGATATTTCTAAATGAAGATAAAGAAATCATAATATTTTAAGGTTTAATATCTCTATGAATAACTTATTCTTAATGTATTACAACCAAAGCTTTAAGTATTGCTTACAACATAACTTTGATATCATATTCTTTAAGTTTAGTTTGATGTTTTTTGAGTTATTCAATAAGAGTTGCTAAACATACACCATCAACAAATTCAACAATTATACCATATTAATGTTCTTCAATTCTATAAACTTCAAAGATTTTAAGAATAGATTCATTGTTTATTGAATTCAAAATTCCAATTTCGTTTTCCAATAATTACTGAATAGGATAAAAATATTAAATACCATATTTTCTTTATCATTCTTTTACTTACTTGAAACTTACTTCATTGCAAAAGGTTTATCATCATGTAATCTATAAACTTTATGAACTTTAGAGAATGAACCTTATCCAATGACTTTTTCTAATTTATAATGTTCATCAAGTGAATGGAACCCTATTAAACAACTGATTGCCTAACGAAATTTATTTAATTATTCAGATGCAGCTTCAAAATACTTGACATTCTTTCTTTGTAAATATAAGTTTAAAAAAGATTAATTACTTATATTTAATTCCGAAAGCTCTATTTTGTCCATGCTCTTATTTCCAATAAACAGTATTCTTTAGATTCAATTCTAACTTGTATTTAGGATTAGGATCATTAAATTACTAATTTCAACTTTATAAGTGTACCTCTCCAATAGTAATCATATTTTGAAGTGCATGGACATGATAAACTTTATCTTTAAAAAGATGTCGACGTAAACATTTAAAAGAATATTTCACATTTACATAATTTATTGATGGCTAAGATTGTTAGTTTTCACCTATAGATTAATTCATTTCTAAATTTAATATATATATATTTAATAGTTTCAATTAGTTAAGCTGAACAAGTTGATAGAATCATGAGCTCCCATCGATAATAAAGTCAATTCTATTTAATTAGCATATTCATTATTTGAATCATCTGCATTATTAACATTAAACACCTCTCCAAAATTAATATTTGGATTGTCAAAGAAATAGCCTCCAATAATTAAAATATTTTAATCATCTAATAAAATTGGTTTTGGTAATGATCTAGAATATTGTAGAGTTCCAACTATTTGTCTATTAAATTATTTATAATATGTAAATACCCTGAAACATTCTAATTAGATTCTAAGTCATCCTAATTAAATCTTATAATTTCTTTCTTACTACCATCAAACCCTTTACCTCCAAAAATGAATAAATCTTAGTCATCTATTACTATTGATGATAATCCTTCTAATGAGAATGGCAATTCAATATTTAATACATCCCATTCTTATGACTATTCATTATAACATTCAATCTTATGTGAAATTTACCCTAATAAATACATTTCAATAATTATATACCTTCTCCAACATATCCTCCAAATACATAAATCTTCTCTCCTATTACATTAGCAGTCATAGAACATTTTGGCTCATTCAATGGAGCTATCTAATCCCATTCCTCCTCATCTATATTGAATCTCTCTACTGTACTATGTAATGATAATATATCATTCTGATATCCTCTTCCTCCTATAAAATAAACATATGGAGCATTATAAACACATGCAGCTGCATATCTATGATAACTTAGTTTACCCACTTTCTTTATCTTTACCTTCATCTCTGGAAATATTATTGTAATTAAATATGCCTTTTTATTTATTTATGATATCTTTGAATCTATTCCACCTGCTAATAAAATTTATCTACAATTTGGTAATTCTGCATCTATTGAACATACACTCATATATGAATATAAACACAATTAAGTTGGTACTTCCAATGCTTATAAATTTTCTGTTGCATATTTTGGAATTGGTAAAATAAATGGATATTCATCATTTCCAAACATAAATACAACATCATCTGGTTATAAATTAGTATCTTATTTCTATTACATTATTTATTATTAATCAAATTCTTCTAATCTACAAATCTATTAAACTTATGATATTCCTCTTAAATTCTTATTTAAAATTTCTTCTACATTTTCATCTACATTTATTAAAAACTCTTCCCATATCTTATTTTCAATATTAAACAATTCAAAAGTATTTTATTTACTCATTCCACCATACACTATATAATTACCAAATTCATCTCTAAACATATGAAATAATGATCGAATTTAATTCAATTAAGAGTAAGAAATAAATGTATTATCTAAAAAAACATAATTGTAAATTAATTACTTTTAAAGTTCAAAACTAAACATGCTTAAGATGGTCCTTATAATGTCATTCCACCAACTATCATTAACTTTTAATTTTCTAAAGGAATCAAATGGAATCCTGCCAATCCTCTTGGCAATCTTATTTTACTTCTAATCCATATATTTTTGACTTCATCATAATATTCTATAGACTTCGTATTTTTCTTTCCATCAAATCCTCCTATACAATAAATTTGATCATTGTACAAGAATACTCCAAAATTAGATCTTCTCTTTGTCATTGGTGAAATAGTCTTAAATAATTTAAATAGAATACCTTCCAAACACCTCCATCATATACTTCACAATGTGATAAAACACTCTCAAAATCTGGACCATATTATCTTCCTCCCAATATATATATTTTATCATTATGATTTACACATTAATGAACATACCTACATTAAGTAAATTAACTAAATTGGCTTAACTAATATGCGTTACATTTCTTACCTAATTAGTTTATGTATTAAATAAATAAACATCATTCGAAATTATTTTATTTGTGTTTCCCAATCCTCCTGTTATTAGAATCTCATTTTCTTTATACGGAATGACACATGACCAATTATTGATCTATGAATGATTTAAAATTTATAAACCTTCAATCCATTATCAATAGGAACTTTCTAAAAACTCTATTGCTAAGGGCAATACTTAATGATCATATTTTCCTATGGCCAAGTTGACCCAAAAATCAAATGTTAAGTTTAAGTTGCTGACATTAAATATTTTTTATAATAAAATTGCGTACTTTTAATTCACCTATATAAATAGTAAATTGTTTATTAATTCTAAGTTATCTTAATATTTGTATGTATTTAATATATATATAATAATTTCATTCTTTTGGAATCAATTGTTTTCTCTCAGGTAAATCTCTAATTTAGAATGATTTTATATCTTAAATCACTTCCACTTAACCATAACATTATTCACTATCATAACAAAACCAATTCAAAGCTGGTTCATTTATTCTACTAGTTGATATTATCAATTCCTATGATGCCACACTACCAATAACAGAATAGACTGGACAATAATCAACTCCATATAATCTTGCAAAATTTCTAAATGTAGCTACTTATTCTTCAGTTGCATCTTTACCATTAGCATTTCTAAATATCTCCTTACCTATCTATGTAAATCTATCTAACAATTCATCATTTGGTTAATAAGGATCATAAGCTTTCAATTCTGGAATTTCTTAAGCTTTTTTCATCATCAATATACAATAATAAATAATATTTATTATCATTCCTTAAGGTTTGTAATTGTAATTCAATGTTTCCTCAAGTGGTACAGAATGAGCAATGACTTCTTCAAATTCTCTATATCTATCTTAATCTTCTAATTTTTTTCCAAATACTATTTACAATATAATTTTCTTCTCTCTTTCATATGTAAATTTTTATCCCAATCCTACATACATAAAACCATAATATCCACAACAAACGAGATTGTAATATGGAATATTATTTTTTCTTGAAAAATTATCATACTTAATCATCTCATCAAAATCTGTTGTTGATGTAACCAATCCATTGTACTAATACCAAATCACATGATCATCTTCACTTGGTAATTGTTCTAACCAATCTATTTTTACCAATGGATTTATCATTTTAAGTTCTTCTTAAGCAATTTTACCCCTCTAATAGAATAACCAATAAATAGAGTACTTTTTCTCCTAATAATTATTTTGTAAATAAGAAATTAGTATCTGTGTCTCTATCATTTATTACTTAATTATCAACAATGGTTATATTGGCACCTGCTAATATTAAATTTTTGGCTAATTCAGTATTACTACCTGTCATATTGATAATTAGTATATTAGATGCCAATAATCTAGAAATACATTTAATATTAGATTACCTCTTCTAAACTTAATGTCCAATAAATCCAGCTCGATCATATTTTTATCTTTCTTCTTCTGTAAGTTCTCTCTCAACAGGTTTGTGTTCCTCCATAAGATTTTTATTTAATATATAAATTCTATAATAATTAATGTTTTTTTATTTAAGTAATTAATCGAGACATTTTAATGCTACTTTAATTTTTTACTATTACTAAATTTATACACCTTAATTTGATATTATATTTTATTATCAAAATATGAAAGTAAAATAAAGAATTTAATTACGAATACCTAAAATTTCAGGTCATGTTTAAACTGAGGCAAGTTAAGATTAATTATAATCAACCAATGATACACGTTTCAAGGGTGATTTAACATGTAGATAAACAATCAGAGTTAGAAATACAATTAAAGAAGCTCTTATGATCTCGAATATCAAATTGGCATTTTAAGAAGAGATGGATAAAATAAAGGAAGAAATAAGAAAACCTGAAAAGTAATAACTTATTATGTAAATTTGTTTGTTTACAAAGTACTGAAATGCTACAATAAAATAGAGTTATCATCTAAAATACTTTAATGCAATTAAATTAATTATTTTTAGAAAGAAAGGATCGAGATTAAGCAATAAAAATAATAAATGAAATAAGTAATTAAGTATTGAAATCAAAGATATCAGGTATGAGATATAATGATTATTTAAAAGACCTGAAAATATTCATACATCTTAAATTAGCTAAAATAGTATTTAGTTATAATTTGCTCTACTTTAGTATAATCTTAGCAAAGATAGTAAAGAGAATGTCAGACAATGAGCATTTATTAAAATATAAATTGTTAGCATATAAGTTACTTGGGATCTCTTTTTTTAAATTAAGGAATAGATAATCTAAGATTTACTTTACAAAATATTTAATGTGTAGTTGGAAATTGAATTAGAAGAATCATGAATTAAAGGCTTATGAATATTTAGGGAAGTACTATTTTTAGGAAGGAGATATAGTAAAGGCTACAACATTTCATGAGAGAATGGTAAATGGAGCAATTTTGGTAATAAATGTAAAAATATAATTAAAGTTACCTCATTCTTCATTAAGAGTATTGGGTATAAGAAAATTAGAGTAAGGATCAATAGGGAAAGGGAAAAAGAATTATGGATTAGTAGAATAGCATGAAATAAATGTATCAAGTGATGCAGAAGGATTTGAATTAGTTTTTAATGATGATAATTCTGTTCCTAATAAAGTTGCTATTCAAAAGATGGATCAATTGGTACAGAATGGATAAAGATAAAGTCTTATTAATTATCCAATAAGAAAGAATTTAATATTCTAACATAGAAGTTAAAATATTATGGATAATAAAATTAAGACTAGACATATGCATTAATTACCAGTGATGTTAAATCATTTAAGTCCAAATAGATAATTGGTTAATTATTAATTTCTAGAATTGAATAAGGCTGTTCCTAATTATAAATTAACTCAGAACTTAGATCCTTACTTTGAGAAAAAAGATTCTTCAAGCATTGCAAATGTAATTGTAAAGCTATCTCGTGTTTTGGAATAAGTAGACATTTGGATTAAATTATGAATATAAAATAATTTATTTTTTATGGAAAAACAATATATAGAGTAAATCTCAAAATAATAAGAGGAAATTGATGAGTAATTGAAATTGGCATAAAATTAGTAATGTAGTATTTCATAACAATTTAGATGTTGAATATGTATCAACTAAATTAGATGATATTCTTAAATTTTAATAATAAGAGAATTAGAGTTTATAATCATCTAAGTAATTGACTTTACCAATTGAAGAATTGATAACATTAGCTGAAACATTAGAAGGCAGATTCTAAAAATCAATTAAGCAATTGTAAATCAAATAAGTAGAAATCTATCATTTAAAATAAGGATTAATTAGAGAATGACTAAAAATCATGGAAAACTTAATTGAGAGAAAAGGAGTAATAGCAATTATAATAATTGGAATAAGAGAAAACTTTAATTGATAAATAATTCAAGGAGAGGTTGAGAACTATTCATATGAAATGAATTTATTAATTTAATTATAATGGGTCTTTTTAGAAGATTATCTAAAGTATTCAAATCAGAAGTTCCTTAAACAAATAATGAACATTTGCATGAGAATCAACAATATTCAAAGAAGGTATGAAATATCTACCAATAGATTGTTTTGGAAAATGGAGAGAGTGTAAATGTTAGAGGAAATGAAAATTAATTCAACCTAATTAAAACAAGTCGATATACAATTACAAATTGTTTATATGTGTTGATAATTAAATTTTTTAAGCGATTTCTGAATTTGTACTTATTTGTCATCAACATGATATAATTAGACTATAATTATCTAATTTCACTTCTATTAACATTTGCTATACATGCCATAATAGAATTGTACTTTGACAATAAAAAGCGAAATCGTGATAATAAAATAAATTCTCGATAAGCCACTGTATTTGCGGATTTAAAAAAAAATGTTTTAAATGTGGCCTCTTCAAATTTGATTAAATTAGGAGGAAGAAAATCTCTAAACTAAAATATAGTTGATCATGAAAACTTGGTGAATAATAACAATTATTAAAAAGATATATGTATGAGAAAGGTAAGTATAGAGACAGTTACATATAGATAGGATAAATAACCTAGAATTCCTTTATTTAGTATTAAGAGATGGGATCAACTTAAAGTAGGGGATATAATCTATTTAAAGAATAATGAAATATGTCCAGCTGATGTTTTAATTTTAGATATGGGATAATCAGTTAGTATGGCTAGCAATACTGTAATGAGTGGAAATACAAATGAAGTAAGAAAGAGAGCATGTCCTTTAACTACTATATCTAAAGAGCATAAGATCTAATTACTTGATTATCGTACTATTTTAAATGGGATTGTAAGATATGATTAAACTGATTCAGATCAATATTATAAAGGTATGGTAAAATTGAAGAAGGATCCAAAACCTTTAGAAATCAATAAAGAGAATATCTTTTTTAGAGAATAACTACTTTTAAATGATTTATATATGTTTGGAGTCATTCTTGCTGTTGGACTTGATTGTCGATGTTTTAAATCATTTAAATATACAGAAAAATATGGATACTTTGAAAATAAAGCAAATTTGTACTTTCTCATAGCTATAATATCATTGATTGTTCTAAGTGTGATTTAATATACAATTGAATATTATGGAGAACTTCATTATAATTTAGAATTTCAATTAATTAGGTATTCTAATTTATTACCTCTTTATTTTTACTTTCTTATTGATCTACTTTATTTTATCTAAATGTTGTACAATAATTACTTGTTTAAAGAGGGGAAAAATAATTCAAAGAATTCAATAGAAGATGATAATCCATTATTAGATAATACACATATAATGAATCATTTACATATAAATTATACTCCTGTTTCCAATTTATCATTAATTAATCATGTATTAATTGATAAGACTGGAACATTGACAAATCCTGTTTTTAAGATCAAATGGATCTTTATTTTTGATTCACTCTATAAATTAAGATATAGAGCATTTGATGAAAAAGAGTTTCAAAATGCAATTAAATAAACTAAAATGAAATAAGAATTAAATATTCCAATAGATGAAAGAATAGAACCAGAATCTACTCCAATTATAAAATGCAATAATTAAGAAGTTAATTTTAAATTGGAAGATTTAGATGATGATCATCCTCCATATGATGAATTACATCGTACTTAACCTCCAAGATTTAGACCAGAATCATAAATTAGTAGTTAATTTGATTAAAGTGCTGAAGGAGCATAAATATAAAAGTAATCTTAACCAAGAGGAAGTAGTCTCATTGTTAATAGTTTACATGAAAGTAAAAGATAATTAACATACTAAAGAGGAAGTTAAAAATTTCATGCTCCCAGAATTCCATCTAATTTAGAAATTGTTTCAGAAGTAGAGTTTTCTGGTAATGAAATCACTCTAGTCAGAAGAAGAGAAGATAATGAATTCAAACCTCATTATTTTGAAGCCATGTTTGCATTAGTATTATGTTAGAACACTAGATCATTATATTAAAAAAGTGATGATTCATTCTTTTATGAGTATAGTTCAGAATTAGATAAATAATAATTATATTTATGTAAGCATTATGGTTTTCAATTCATTTGTAGAAGTAAATAAGAAAATTAAATGAGATACATTATTTAAGATGGAGAAGAAATTCATATCATTGAAGTTATGTCCTTACATTCTTTTAATTCTAGGAAATTTAGTATCATCATAAGATTGCAAGAAGAAATAAGTGTTAAATTAGGATTAGAAAATGATGATTCATAATACTTATAATATTTAAGAGATGATAGTTTAGATATGATAGGTTGTTTATCTTTAGAAAAGGATCAGTTGGCTAAACTTGATCTAATGATTAAAGACTTATAATTTTAGGGTAGCAGACCAGTATTATTTTATAGAAGCTTCATGAATGAAATTTAAATGCAAACTTTTATTAAAGAAGCAAACAAATTACTTGATATTCAATCTAATAAAATTGAATTTATGAATGAATATTAATTTTTAATGCATGAATTTGAAAAGAATTGTGATCTTGTAACTGTTGTTGGAGTTCAAGAAAAAATCAATAAACATGTCACTCCAGCATTAAATGGAATCAAATCTCTTGGAATTCCATGTTGGATTGTAAGTGGAGACAATTACGAAAAAGTATTGCCAATTGCCTATAAGGTTCAATTATTCAATTAAAATGATACAGTAGTTCATATATAAGCTAAAACTTAAGATGAATTATTCTTATAATTAAAATAATAGTTATAAAATTTAAGTGGATAATTAAGATCACATTCTAATAAAAAAGAAATAAGGCATTCAGATACTTTGGTTCATAAAAGAGGATCATTTACTTGTAGCCCAAGATGGATTTAAGCGGGATAAAAAAATCTACATATTCGATAATTTTAAATATTAATAAGTGGAGAATCTTTAGAATAAATTTTAAAGGATATGTATTTAAAGAAACATTTTTAATTTATATTATAATTTACATCGAATTTCATTGGATATAGAATGACACCTTAATAAAAATCAATATTAATAAAATTGTTAAAAGATAGAAAATTGAATTATAAATTTATATTGTCAATAGGAGATAGTTATAGTGATATGAATTTATTTAACCATTCAGATTTTGCATTTTAAATGTAATCTGGAAGATAGATTTTTCCTCATGATAAAAATAACTTCGAAGATCTTCAACACTAACAAGGAAGAGTTTCAATAAAATATTTGGAATAAGAATCTTAATTTTGTTAACACAAATAAGATCATGGTTTTATTGAACCATTATATAACAGTGATATCTATGTAAAGGATTTTGAAAAGATAAATAGATTGATAGCTGTGGATTCTAGAAAATCAACTTTATATTTTGAAAGAATTCTCATATTTGCATTATTCAGAAGTTTTGGAATAATTTATTTGGTATTTGTGACATAATTGATTAGAGATGAAATAGATGTAATATCTAAAGATTATCTAAAATTCCATTCAAATATTTTCTTTTTACTTTCATGTTCGTTCATAATAAGTGAAATAAGTGAAAAAATAGAAAATTGCAATAATAGTGAATTCTTAACTTTTGTATTTAAAAGCAATCAATTAGAATTAAACAATAATAAATTCGGTAAGTATATCGTGAGAATTACTTTATTTCCATTAATATAGGCATTGTTAATAAATTTATACACAGAATATGCAGATTTAACAAGTCAAAATGGAACAATGATAAAATCATATGAATTAGGATCAGGATTATTTTTATTATTATTAATAGTTGATACATCAAAGTTAGTTCAAAGAAAGTATATCAGTTAAAAATAATTTATTTTTAATTTAGGATTAATATTTGGATTATATACTTTAATATCTTTGTAATTTGATTCAATCTCAATAGTTTATGAATGGGCTAAATCTATTTAAATTCTATTTTCATTTTTATTAATAATAGCTTTTCATTCAATATTTAATTAAGTGTTTTATCATGTGAATAGGCCTTTCTTAAAGCCCTTTAGTATTTCAACAAATAAAGAGTATGATGAAATTGTAAAGATATATAATAAAATATCTGGTGATGTGGCAAGGTAGTTAAAGTAACATAGAGCAACTATAGAGAAAATCTCTTATTATGCTAGAAAACTGTTTAATGGTGATGAAGACATGGATCCAATCATAAAATAAATGTTAAGTGGTGCATTTGCAGATGAAACAGAAAATTCTATAAATTCCATCACTTTAAGATTCAAATCACAATTGGTATAAAATAAGTTTACAGAAGATACACTATAATATGTTGTACATGCTTATAGAATTATAGTTGTAATAACATTTTTATTCTATGAAATAGCTACTTATACCATTATTTTATTAACATATAATAATTTTTCATTAATTTATTGGACTGACTACTATTATATTGCAATGTTTGGTGTATTACTCTTACTTATACTGTTTTGTTGGACTCGTTATTATAAGTTATATTTCTTTGAAGTCAACTTTATAATTTTATTTATTCGATGCTCTTCTATAGTAATTTGGTTATTCAATCAAGATCAATCAGTTGGAGGAATTAATCTTAATATGTTATAATTAAGTTTGGCAGTTAATATATATCATTATCAAGAATAACCACTTTTAAGTTAGATTTTTTCAGGTATTTATGTGACAATTTATTTAATAAAAAAATCAGATGAAGAAAACATATACATTCTGATAAATTAATACGTTTTGAGTATTGCATCATTGTTTCTATTAGTTTTGACATTCAGAAGAATTATTCATATTTTTTTAGAAGTCTTTTTGGGAAGAATTAATATGAATAAGGAAAATCAAATAATGAGCGATATTCTATCTATTCTTCTTCCTTAATTTATAAGAGATCGTATTAATAAAGCTGGTCAATATGATATTTAGGAAGATCAAGGTATGGTGGCTGTATTATTTTGTGACATAATAGATTTTGATTAATTAATTAAGAATGAGTAATCTAATGTAGTTGATATATTAGATAAATTATTTAGAAGATTTGATTTACTTTGTTAATAACATGAAGTCCAAAAAATTGAAACAGTAGGAAAAACTTATATGGCTGCTGCAGGACTCAAAATTCATTTAATTTAAAAAACTAATCCAGTGAATAAAGTGATTTCATTAGCTTTAGATATGAAAAAATATGTTATGTCAAATGAAAATTTTTAAATAAAAATTGGTATTCATTATGGAAATGTTATTGCAGGAGTTATAGGTCATCATAAACCTTAATTCAGTTTAATTGGTGATACTATTAATACAGCTAGTAGAATATGTTCTACAGCTGAACCAGGAGATATTGCAATCTCAGAATAAGCATATAGATAAACTAATAAATACGAATTAGTTTATATTTAAAGAGATGTAGTTGCTAAAGGAAAAGGAAAATTGATTACGTTTTTAGTAAGTACTAAGAGAGGAGGTAAATAAAGAAAATAAACAATCATGATTCAAAGACCCCCTAAACAACCTTTTAGAGATCCCAAAGAATATCAAAATTTAGATTAAATTCATGAAAATTAAATATCTGAATTAGGAGTTGGATCAAATAGAGAAATGTAACCGTTGATGGGTTGGAATGAGGATCCTTAACCATTAACACTTAATAAAAAGTAAAGAAGTGAAATTTATAATTATGTAACAAAAACTTAAAAGTAAATAGCATATGAAAGTCCAAGAAAATCACTTTAATAATAATTGACTTTCTAATAATCTTAGGTACAATTAAATGTAAATTAAGGAGGAGGATCTTCTAAAAATTATGTATCATAATCTATTGTAGGAGGAATTTAATCTTAAGGATTTGATGATAGACATTAAAAACATTAAGATTTATTATAATTTTTAGAAAGAAAGACTAGATGTGAATTAAATGTTTCTGATTATCAAATAAATATGGAATATGAAATTGAAAAAGATAAAGTAAGAGCTCTTTATAGTGTTGATGAAGATGCTTAACGTTAAAATTTATTATTGACTCTAAATCCAAGAAAATTATATCTAGAATTTAATGAAGACACAACTGTCTCTCTAGAATTTTATGAATTTCTGTCAGGATTATATAGACCTTTTGCTGTTTAATATTTATTAACAATAGGAATATGTGTTTTAATAAGTTCAGTGTCTTGTGTTAGTTTAGATGGATAAATATTTTTAATAAATTTGATAACTGGGGGAATAGTTGGTCTATTACACTTATTATTGTGTACTCTTATTCATAAGTATGAATCTTTTTATAATATTCTATACTTTACAATATTGGCTTATTTATTGCTTAGTAATTATGCTTTAGATTGTTTTATAATTACTGATCATTATGAAATTCAAATTTCAAAAGGTATAATATATAGTCTTAGTATTCTTCTAAATAGAGTTCTTAGACATTAATAAAAGTTGGTTTATCTTGTTTTATATTTAGGAGTGACAATAGGTGCAATAATAGTAAATAATTGGCCTTGGAGTAGATTCTATTATTGTACCATAATTTCGATTTTTGCTTTTTGTATCTAATTATTCATGTTCTTAAAAAATGTTAATTCTTATAATGTCAATAAATAACTAGTTGAAAAATCAATTAAATATCAATATTTATTGAATTATTTATTGCCAAAAAATGTATTATAAATTTTATATCTATTAAACAGGTTCTTGAAGAGTTTTTTAGACCAAATGAAGAGAAACGTGTTTTAAGAGAATAGGCTGATGAAGTAACATTATTATTTGCTGATATCGCTGGTTTTACAGAATATTCGAGTAAAGTATAACCTGAATAAGTCGTGAATATGTTGAGAAATTTATTTACTGAATTTGATAAAAATTGTCTTTTACATAATGTTTTCAAACTGTATACTATAGGAGATTGTTATGTTGTAATGGGAATGGTAGATTATGGTAAAGGAATATAGAGAAATACATCTTTAGAGGCAGTAAATGTAGTACGTATGGGATTTGCTATGATTGATGCGATTAGAAGAGTTAGAGCACATATTAATCATCCAACTTTAGATATGAGAATTGGAGTTCATACTGTATAATATCTATATTAATTATATATTAAATAGGGATCCATAATAGGAGGTGTTTTGGGAACAGAATTAGTTAGGTATGATATATATGGTCCTGATGTACTTATTGCGAATAAAATGGAATCAAAAGGAGCCAAAGGATTTGTTTAAGTATCCTAAGAAACAAAGGATATCATTGAAAGAGAATTCCCTGATTTATTCAGATTCGAATATAAACAATCTATTGAATTTGAATCTATAGAGAGAAAGACGTCAGGATACTTTGTTTATTAATGAATAACTAATTAATTATGGTTTATTGAATTCAGTTATTTTGAGATAGATATTTGTGATTTGATAAAAAGGAGAATCATAATTAATCCAGTAAGAAATAGGGACTATTTGAATTCCTAGAAATTAGAGGTATACTCTTTCTCATCAATCTATTTACACTTGGATTTAACACTAATCTTTCAGAAGAAGAGTTCATCATACTCTCTAATAAAATCTAACTCTTCTCTTTTCTTTCTTTCCAATATTTATGTTCTTTTATCAGAGGATCAGTTTTTGTTCGTACTCCCAAACTATTCAAATACCTCACTATCTCAACTTCTGTCTTATAGTCCTTTTAGTCTATATAGTATTCAATTGAATCATTCAATTCACTAATACTTATTGGACTACTCTATGTTGAATTACTACTCAATACACTTACCACACCATTTTAATTAGCATAAGTTGGCTTCATGAAATCTTTTAATATTAGACTATTTTTAATTAAAAATATATTTTTTTTCTGCATTTCTTAATTAAGCATTTATACTATATCTCCAGTACATCCATACTACTGATGTTCTATTTCTATTTACTGATCCTCTATTCTAATTTTGCAAACTCTATTCAATTATTTCAATTATCATGTCATTTCAATGTTCAAATTAAATAATGTCTAGAATATGGAATTTCACTTTTAGTCCTTATTTTTCTTAATATTTTTTGAATTATTATATCGATAAGAAATAATAAATTAACACTTTCATAATACGTGTTCATTTTATTAAATTTTTAATATAATTATGAATTATTAAAATTCATAATTTATTTTATATATTTTATTACTTCCCTCTTTTTATATCTTCTAAAAATCATTACTACTCTATAAATCATTCATTCACTTAATTTTTCATAATTTTAATTACTAATCCTAAAACAAATTGAACTAGTCTATCTATGTTCTTTAAATTCCATAATGATGTAATTTACATTAATATTTTATTAATTAGATCAATATCAATATTAATGTAATTGGATCAATGTCAAAGTTAAATGTAATTAGATCAATATAGATATATTAATTTATTCTATTCCAATTAAGCACATAGTTTCTAAATAAAATTTAATCAAAAGTGAAACAGAATTTCATTTACTTATTTCACTGACAATAATATTAAATTTAAATTTCCTTTAAAATTTGTTATATTCCTTTTGAGCTTATTAATATGGGACAATTTAATTTTTAAAGGGTTATAAAAATATATTTCTTCTGTTGTTTCTACTTTGAATGCACATTTTATATTATTATTGAGGAATAAACATTCAAATAAATATAATTTCTTCTTTAGAGTATAATTTAATTGATTTTGATTTTTGATTATTCTAATCTATAAAATCTATAATTATTTGACTTAAACAAGTAGGAATGAGTATTATTAATTTAGTATTTAAAAAATGATATTAAATAATTATTATATATAATAATATATATAAAATTTCTTTTTTAATAGAGAATCACTATTTTCCATATAGTTTTTTTTTGATTAGGTATTCCTTAAGAACAGTTGGACAATCAGTCATAATTCCATGACATCCAGTTTTAATAGCTCTTTCATATTCCTTTTCATTATTCAAAACCCAATAATATACAAAAATCCCTCTATTGTGTAAATGATAAAATAGAGGTTTAGAAATGAAACCTAAAAATCGAATGAAATTATGACTTTAAATAGAGAATAATAAATTACAAAAGCATTTGTTAAATCTTTTCTGAATTAGTTTAAGCAACTTATAATTTCCATTAGTAGAAATCATCCGTATAAAGTGGTGCTTACATAGAATCATCAGGAATATCAAAGAAAGGTAGTAGACCAGTCATATAAAGTAAATAAACTCTTAATATTCCTTCCACTGTAAAAAATCTAGGTATCTAAGGATTAATTGATTTAAGTAATTCATTTTATTTTTAAACTAAAAATTAAAACTCTTTAATACATCTAGCTCCCCAGATTATAGTATCTTATCTTTGATACTTAATAATTAATTCATTGACTGCTTAAACAACTTCTGGTTCAGGAGTCTTAATTTCGACATTAATTAAAACATCAGGAAATGTTTTAAGAACATCTTCAAACAAAGGAAGATAAGGAGTCTTACAGGTTTGAGTTGAAATATAATCATTAGGAGCAAAATCTAGTCTAACTCTTTCTAAAAATTTAGGTAGGTCTTTATAATTATACTCTTTCACATGTGCATCTACACCACACATTCTTAATAATGATGAATCATGTAAAACTACAATCTAAAATATTATTTATCTGATTTACTTTCTTATCTTTTGTCATACATAAATCCATTTCTAAACAATCAGTACCAAGATCATATGCATGTTGAAAGGCTTACATTGTATTTTCCAAATTTTCCCTACATCCACCACGATGTGAAATATGAAGGATTGCTTTTCTTTATTTATATTTTTAGTATTTTGAATATCTAAAATTATTCTTTTTCTTAAATGGATAAACAAAAAATGTTAATGACAAAGCCCAATATCCAAGAAATCCATAAAACAAATAATTCATTTTAATTAATTATTACTTATAAATTAATCACTAATCATGAAACCTTTTACTTTGTACATAATTAAACCTATTTCTATTACTCTTTTAGAACATGGAAATGTAATTCTAAATATTTTAATATATTTCTTAAAACAAAATTTTCTATCAGAATTAAAATATCTAATCTCATCCTTTTATTATTCAATATTTTCAATTTCAAATAATATTTAAAGTAATGTATTATCTCACAATTTATCTAAATTTCTATACTATTCCTATTGTTCATTGTAATATCTAAAAATATTTCTATATTTCTTTTGATATTTTTTTATAACATTTTCAAAGTGTTTTTAGATCATATTTCACAGGTTATAAGAATTAAATCATTTCATTTTTATAAGTTTTAGCGCCTATTAAATCTTAATCAAAATTAAATAAATATGATTCTAAAATCTTGATTCATAGTTTATTAAAAATTACAATTTGATCATTCTACTGTATTTAAATTAAGAATTATTGGACTGACACTAAAAAAATAATGATTTAGCTTGTGACATTCTAAAAGATACAATATTTTTATTTCTTTTTATATTTAAGAATATATATACATTTATAATTTATATTATACATTATGATCCTCAAACATTTAACAACAAAATTTTCTAACATTTAAAAATTCTATTTTAATACATATCTGTATAAATTTCTAGTTTTTAGTATACAATAAATTTTCTTTACAATTTAGCTTATATTATAGGGAATTGCAAATATTATACAAAGGAAACTAAAATTCTTTAAGTTTAACCTTTGCATTAGTAATAAGAAGATATAATCTCAATAATATTAATAAAAAAAAATAATAATGTTTATAACTTGATTTCAATTGTAAATTTGCTATTTAAAAAATGGTAAATGAAATCACTACTCAAATAATTTGATACATAAACTCAAAAAATTTAAAGTTTGTTTATTGACCAATTTTATTATGTTTAGAAAATGTATGTTTTTTATAAATATTGGAAAATCCAATGGATGAGGATAGTAAATCAGAAAGAGTAATATAATTGAATGAAAGGATGTTGAATTATTGAATGAATATAATAATCTTCAAATAATTGTTTATGAATTGTATTCTATTTAGACACTTATATTTATTAATTATCATTAATGAACATAAAATTAATAATACTAATTCTATAATAGAATGGAAGAACATTTGTTGATCTCTTTTATCAATCCAAGAATGTAATTTGGAGATTTAAAATATTAAACAGCTGTAGAATCCTAATTGTTTGATACTAAAAATTAAGAGATAAGTAAATTGTGAAGTAGATTATTATTAAAGTCAATAAAATTAATGATTTATTTCAAAAACACATATCGCTATTCAAAATGATGAGATAAAATAATTTATTAGAAGATCATATTAATGCTTTAGCATGCAATTAGATTTTGGGAACTGATTTTAGAGAAAAAAAGCTGTAAATTTTACAATTTAATTAAGTGTTTCTAATTTATTTATAACTAAATTTGAAAAACTCTTTGATTCAAATTCATATGATTTAGCTTAAGCAACAATCTAGTTTAAGAATCATATCGGTAATGTATTAAAAAACCTAAATTTGAAAGATACAGCATTAGAGGAATTGCTAAATGTAATTGCTTTTACAGATCTATTTTTAAGGATTAAAGTATTCCCTTGTAATTTGATTTGGAAGAGACTAAATAATTTATGTAGAAGCAAAGTTGGGAAGAATAATTTAGTAAAATTTTGAATAATAAAAAAAAGGTTTTATTAGAAATTATATATTGTATAATTTATCAAATAATGAGAACTTTATTTAAAATTTAAAATTGTGGAAAAGAAAGTTTGGAATATAGAATGATGATAAATTAAAATCAAATATAAGTATCTAAGTGCATTTCCTTGATTGGTCAGAATAAGTTAAGCATATTATTGAAAAGTTATGGATGCCCTATACTTTTAAATAAGGTGAATATTATTTAGCAGATGTGAATGATAATTCTGCATTTAAACCATTAAAATTCGTATCAGACATTTATGATAAAAAGAAAGCTAATTTTTTTATAATAGATTCTTTATCAAATCTTATAAAGAATCATAATTACAATTACAATTAAATAAAAGTTGCATTTAGTCATAAATCTCCCAAAGAAGTATTGATATCATTTCTTGAGATTCTGGATTGGTGCAAAGATATTTTGAAGTGGGAAGAAGTAAAAATTAAAATTAAAAGTATTAGATAATATGTCGATTGGTAGAGAATATAAAAAAGGAATATTTAACAATATCATCATATTAAGATAGTTAAGGAGATGGAGGATTTTCAATGGAAATATATCTTGAAACAATTCTTAATGATATAATTAATCAATTTGAAGATAAAGTGGATTAAATTAATAAACAGAAATTTATTGATATAAATATATTAGATGAGTCAAACATAGGAGGAAACTATTATGAAATTACAAATGATGGTATAGACTTTTATAATGAGGAATATAAGATTTGTGGAAATGTTGTATTTTCAGTTGAAAAGAAGGGAATGATTGGTAAAATAGGATAGATGATAATGGATGTGCCATAAATTTAAAGGTAATTTATATAAAATAAAGTAGAATGTATTTAAAAATTAATAAGGAACAAAATAAATTGAAATATTTTTAAATTTTATGGTAATGCAAAAATCTCAAAAATAAAATGATTAAGTAAACATTATACTATATAATCTTAGATTGATTCTATTTAGAATAGGATAATTAATAGCAACAGAAATTCAAAAATAGGAAAGATAGGATAAGGAAATTGAGATATATTTTTGAATAATTATCTTATGTTAATAAGTTTTATTATTATTATTATTATTATTATTATTATTATTATTATTATTATTATTATTATTATTATTATTATTATTATTATTATTATTATTATTATTATTATTATTATTATTATTATTATTATTATTATTATTATTATTATTATTATTATTATTATTATTATTATTATTATTATTATTATTATTATTATTATTATTATTATTATTATTATTATTATTATTATTATTATTATTATTATTATTATTATTATTATTATTATTATTATTATTATTATTATTATTATTATTATTATTATTATTATTATTATTATTATTATTATTATTATTATTATTATTATTATTATTATTATTATTATTATTATTATTATTATTATTATTATTATTATTATTATTATTATTATTATTATTATTATTATTATTATTATTATTATTATTATTATTATTATTATTATTATTATTATTATTATTATTATTATTATTATTATTATTATTATTATTATTATTATTATTATTATTATTATTATTATTATTATTATTATTATTATTATTATTATTATTATTATTATTATTATTATTATTATTATTAAATTATGATAAATTAATATAAATGATTATAAATTATTATATAATTATATAATTTTATAAAATGGCAGAAACAAAAGAAGAAGTTAAAATTTAACCAAAAGTTTATTCATATGCAGACTTAATTGAATTCGAAAATAAATAAGCATTTAGTTCAATAGGCAAAATGCCAATATCAACAAAGCAAACATTACCAAGTTACAGTTTCGGTTCTGCTGAACGTGCTAATTAAGCAAAACTTTACCATAATAAAGAATTAGCAAGAATAGATTTTGCAGGTATGAAATGAGTATAATTTTAAAAGGAAAATAAAGTCCAGGACCTGCTTATAATGTTAGAGGAGGAGATTAATTTTATTATACAAAAGATGCAAATACTAAGTTTGGAACAGATGCTCGTAATACATTAAATACAGGAGCAAAATTTGATTATTATCAAAGAAAAGATGTTGATGTAAAAGTGTTATTGAGATTAAAAGTTTGAACCATAAGAAGCAGATTTAATTAGAAAGACAAAAGGTCCAACAGTAAAAATTGGATTAGAATCAAGAGTATATAATTATAATTTGATTTATAGTTTCCTCCTGAAAAAAGACTAAAAGGAACTCCTGGTCCATAATATGATCCAGCAATTAAACCAGAAGTACCAACTCCACCTTAATTTTCATTTGGATATAGAAGAGATATTCCAGGAGCATCTGCATTAGCACCAACATGTTCAACTCCTGTAATTGTTGGACCTGGAGCATATTTATAAAAACCACCTGCTAATACAAGTAATTTAGAAGATGCTTCACATTGGACAATACCAAAAGGACCTAAAATTGGTAAAATATTTGAAGGTTGGGATAAAAATTAAACTTATGATACTAAATAGTAAATTTTATAAGATAAAAAGGGTTGCTGTTGGTGTTTAAGTCAATTCTAAAAAGAAATCATATCCTGCATTCAGTGTTGGTAAATCAACTAGAGAAGCTAAAGTTGGACATTTCAAATAATTAATGGTCAAAGTTCCCTCTAAAGTACACATTCCTCATCCTAAAATTTGATTATCAAACATATATTTTTA